ACGGGGGCGTACGTGTCTTTTGGTGTATTTGTCTGTCTGGTATATTGTTTGTCGGGGGTCGCAATTTTAAAGAAATGTATTTTAAAGTAATGCAAATAACTGATAAATAAGTTAAAACTTACCTGGGCATAACCCCGGGACAGGTACCTGAACAAAGATGCCGACGGCCTCTATGCTTAGCCGGGGATTAGGTCGGTGATTAAAAGGAAAGAAAGGGATTCTTTCCAGGTAGCCTTAATAAAGGCAGGTAGATTTTGCTCGTTGCAATCACTTCACCTCACAAACAAGCACGTCCGCTCAGCTCGGCTGTTCGCACTGAACTCCATCGCCGGTCAACAATCACTGAAATGAAATAGCAAGCACAAATCGCAAATACCCGACGTAGTCACTGCAAACCGGTTATTTTAAAATTGCGGTAACCGGGAATACCGGTGATTTTGAAATCACCGGTTCTAATTCACCGGTGTCGAAATATCGCTCATCTCTAGTCTAGAATATTATGCGATACGAAAAGTAAAATATGCAAAAATTTTATCCCCACTATTTTTTTTTTTTTTTTCTATTAAAGCTTGTCCGCCATCGCCCCTATGTGTGGGGCAAATATGGACACCCATTTATTTTAATTGAAACTCATCTTTTGGCATAGAGAGGCGAAGGCGGACAAAAAATGTGTAAAAAAATGTTTTATTTAAGGAAGTGGCATGAAATACAAAACAAACAATATTTTCAACAAAAACGCTTTATTGAAACAAAATCTTTAAATTTTCAGAACAAAAAATATACCTTTTGCAAAAAAAAAACAAATCTTATGAAATTATTTTTTGGGTGATTTATTCAATTCTAATGTTTTTATATTTTTCTAAAATAGGGAACTTATCATTTGCGGCCACATCCATACATTATTATTTAAGACTAGTGCAAAAACATTTTTTGCAAATATATGCAATACCTGTGGGTATTTTTTTTTAAATCGTGAAACAATTTGTTTACACGTGCGTCTGTCCGCATAACATCACTCGATTCGATAATTCGATTCTCTGGAACAGTAGCTGTGCAATATTATGCACTAGTGAGCCACGACTTTTAATACTACTAAATTATCTCGAGATATTAAAAAAAAATCTCGAAATAATTCGATTACTTCGATCATCAAATCATTCGAATTATTTTAATTCGATTCTCCCATGAATGTAGATTTTTTTGCACTGACGTAATAGCCTAGATTTGATAAGTATAAAGTATACGTAATTGTAATAATAATAAAATATAAATCGGAAACTTTGTGAAAATGTTTTGTAGGCTTTGCCACAACATCATAACTGATGGGAATTTCAAAGTAATAGAAGAAACTATTAGAGAAGTTCTAGAGGTTCTTCTATTGAAACTGGTAAGAAAAATCGTAAAATGTAAAAACATTATACATCTTGTACATTTTTTAAACTTGGGAAGTTTTTTTTTCATAATGATAAAAATTTCAGGATTTTGAAGATAATAAGCCTGTAATGTGCAATGCATGTTCCTCAAAACTTTTTGCAGCGTTCCATTTCAAGTCGAGGTGTATGGACACAGAGGATAGTATTTTTCCTTATGTTAATTCCGAAATTGTTGCGCCAATCGATTTAAAAGAGATTTATCTTAAAGAGAGACATAAAGAACATTTAAGAGGAATATTAGAAGATGAGAGAATTTGTCGGTTATGTATGCAGATAACCAGTTGTAATTTCACATCAGTAAAAGACGTGGGTACTGACATGATTCATAAATATATTCCGGAAGTGGTATGTACAGTTTGTTTTTTCAGAAATATATGTTCTGTACTCTGTTGTTTATGTAGTATTGACTTCAAGATGTGATAGTTTTTTCTTTTGTAGAATTTTAACTCGACCAAAGAACCAGTTATATGTGCAGTTTGTCTTGATTTGCTGAGAATCCACAGTAGTTTCTTAAGGGATTGTTCAGATACAGAGAAGGGCACTTATGACGACAGGCCGGTAGAAAATTCATTTCATATTATCACTGAAAAAATTGAAGTAAAATCTGAAGATGAAGATAAGTAAGTTTAAAAGGAATTAGTCTCAGTAATTTAAGGATATTTTTTGACATAGATACTTCTATAATATCTTTTGTGCAGACATTTTATTGAGGCTCGTTTGAATTTTTTAAAGAACAACGAACTATCTGTCAGAGTTTGAGATTGACTCGAACAATAAATTTAAATCGTACGTGCTCCTGACGGAAACTACTGCAAAAAACCTATTGATTTGCAACGTAACAAAACGCCTTGTACGATTCATTTGAAAACCAATCAAGCTCGGCCTTTTAGGAATTTATATACGTATTCTTTTTTCAGTAATACTCTCTATGACGAAGAACTCGTTGACCAAGCAGCCAAGGAGGGTCCAAAATCGCAACACTCAAAATTATTTGTATGCGATATATGCGGGTTTCAAACCAAATACAAATGCAATGTAAAAGTTCACCAGTTGAAACACCAAGATCTTTCTGAGGTGTCATCATATAAGTGTGATTTGTGCGATTTCGAAACAAAGTACAAAAAGAGCATAATAAGTCATCAATTAAAACACAAGGACTGTTCCCAGATTCAAATGTACAAGTGTGATGTGTGTGATTTTAAAACTAAGCACCAGGCAAGCCACCTACGCCATCAGACGTTACATAAGGATATTTCAGAGATTCAAATGTACACGTGTGATAAGTGTGATTATAAATCCAGTCAAAAGGGCCACCTCAGACGTCATAAGTGCTATATGCGAAAGTACATGTGTGATCACTGTGATTATGAAACCAAGGTCAAGAGGGAATTTATATTTCATCTACATAGAAGACACAATATCATTTCCGAAAAGTACAAATGTGATAAATGTGATTACGAGACCGTGTATAAGGGTGCCTTGAAAATACATCAGTTCCAACATGAAAAACTTTCTGAGGCGGATTTGTACAGGTGCGATAAACTCCTATTTTAACTTTCTATTTTGCAAATTACAATTTCCACAAATAAGATCCACTTCTTATTTGTGGAAGGGCGAAATGGGCTGTGACTATTAGACGCCTTCATTATACCCATCTTTCTCTATCACACGGATTTCTATGACTTACTTTATCGCTCTCACGTAACGGCCGATGAACCATGGGGACCTTTCCGACCCTGTATATCTGAATACCTAATAATTTACTCAATTAGGCAGTGTCACGTTATCACTTTGTGGCCCGTCAGCGGGAAGTTGTCGGTCATTATGATGGCTGAGCGGAGGCGGAGTTTGCGGAGCGATGATCTCGAACACCGATTTCTGTACATAGTGCAGAAACACCACTACTTAGACAGCTGTAGTGAAGGCAAAAACTTCAAGACAACTTTTATGTCGTAAGATATTAGGCGAGTCCAAAAATAAGAAAAATTTTAAAAATCCATTGGCATTCTACATTTTATGATGAAAATGTCGACTGACTCACGCCTAACTACACCACTGGTGGCAGATAAATAATAATATTTGCTTTATACTAAAAACAGCTCTTTTCCATCGTGCAATATTCCACATTTATTTCAAATATTAATATATTTTTTTAAATTTTCAACACCCTGTATCTCAGAATTTAAGCGTTTCCGGCCACATTTTTAGGAAATTGTGTACTGAAGTTATGAACCGTACTTATGAAACACCCTGTATAGCGATTCTAGAAAAATATTGTCAAACATTTTTTTAAATAAAACTCAAAATTTTTGAAATCATTAAATCTCGGTGTGAGAATTCTTTACAAAATTAGATAATAGGGAGATATACAGGGTGTTTGTAAATAAGTGCGAAATATTTTAGGGGGTGGTTGCGGAAGTTATTTTGTGAAAAAAAGTTCATATGAACGTAATTGGAAATATATTTCATTTCCGAGATACAGAGTGTTTAAATTTTAATTTTATATTTTTATTAATTATTTCAAAGAGTTTTAAAGATATTCAGCCCTATGCTGTAAAAACATTGAAATTAATATCAACCTTGAAGTGATTTCAATGAAAATTGATTTGTTCTTCAATTTTGGAGAAAATTGGTATGCACTAAGAACACTTGATTACAATACCTTGACATTAAAATTGATTGAAATTTATTTCAAGTTTATTTGTGCCAACGTCGCTATTTGCTATAGGGAGATACCGGTAATTATGGAAACAATCTATATGAACAGAAACGGTGACATCAGTCAAATATTTTATCTATATCTATATTCTTAATCATCAGTTTTGTTATTCTGAATTTATAAATTGCATATAAACGGTAAATATCACAACATAAAATTAACAAAACAATTTCTAGACTTATTTGTTACTTTTAAATATATCCCATCAAAAAAAGCCACCCGTTCGCAATATACAAAATTTTTGGAAATAATTATTGATCAGACGGATATAATAAAATGATAAGAAGAGAAAGCCTGGGAACGTATTTCTCAAGAGGTGAATGCAATGAGAGGAGCAGTAAAAATGCAGAAGGATCGAAAAAGGTAAGGGAACTTAAAAATAAGTAAGCACTAAGCTTATGTGAATTTACCAGTCAACAAAATATTTTGCTTGTGAACATACTTATCAGTTATTGCTCTTTGTATAAATCGTATTATAAGTATTTACCTACACTTAAAAAATACAAAATGACAGTAGGTATTTATAATATGTATTAGATACTAAATTGCAACTTTTAAATATAATTACTAAGTATATTTTAAATTACAGGTATTTATAGAATGGAAATCCCATATAGCTAAAAGGAAAAATAAGAGATAAAAAGCCCCTTACCGACATAGAAGAAAAATATGCAAACATTCCTGGATTGTTTGCCTCGTGTTCAGGTGTAAATATTCCAGAGTTGGGTTTTGGAAAAAGAACCAAAGTAAAAGCTAAAGCTAGGAAAATTCACTTAATAATAAGAATAATTAAGTGGAGATGGCATTGCTGTAATTGAAATTTTAACAAATCTGAAAAAAAAACTTTTGGAGGTTTTATTAAAAATTTAATATATGGGCACCCCCAAGTTATAGAGATCTAGGAAAATCTTTCAGTATGAAACTTTTTACATTAATTTTTTATTATTTATTATTAATTATTTTGCATTTTCAGCTAAACCATTTGAGTCGCATGATATGTTAAGGAGTCACATCGAAATGTTAGAAAAAAACTTATAACAATTATTTAAAAAATAGTATATTTATTTTGAATGTGGCATTAGAAAACTTGTTAAAATCTATAAGTAATTAAAAACACTTAAATATTAAATTAAAAATATTTTATTTCATATGGATATTTTTATTAATTTTGAATTAGCCTATTTCCTATAATATACGGCCTTTCTGAAAATTATTTCTTCTTATAATCTATATGTATAATTATCTTCTTCTAATTCGTCATTTTCATCATCATTCAACATTTCTAAAATAAAATTAACATTATACCTTTGTTAAATCGAAGTAATGCTACACTTACCATTATAATCATCCAAATTTTCATATCAAAGGATATACAGGTTATGTAATATTGCACGGGAATAAATTATTTGTGCTACCCTAGCTGGAGCAACAAGAATTGTTGATTAAATTGGTTTCAAGTTTCGTAACGTGAAGGTTTTCGACTTCCGTTACAATTCTTGACATTTGTCAACCTTGATCTGCAGTTTTATATCAATTTCTGCTTTAGTGCATACCAACTTTTGAAGTTTTCAAGGTTACTTGACATCATTTCAAACCCTTGACAAATTTCAATCAATTTGTTTTTTACAGCATAGTAAACCTCCATTTTTATTGAAATGTCTGTCTAAATGTCATTTTTTCTTATAATTTCAACCTTGATATGAAGTCAATGTTCATACAGCATAGGGCTGATTATCTTTAAAACTCTGAAATAATTAAAAATATATAATTAAAAAATTAAAATTTAAACAGTCTGTATATCGGAAACGAAGCATATTTCGACCTACGTTTATACAAACTTTTTTTACAAAATAACTTCGACAATCACCCCCTAAAATATTTCACACTTATTTACAAACATCCTGTATGTATGTACTATAAAGAGAGGTGGTACATATCATGTTCTCGTGATATATTGAAAATGCTTTTAAATATTTTTTTCGTATTTTTTTGAGTATCTGGAGACAAATTTATGCATTGTTATTCTTACTTGTTAGAGAGTTTTTAGGGGTGATGGATTTATAGCCGTTTTTAGTATTTCTGCTCAGTTTTTAAAATATTTTTGAAAAATATTGATATTGAAAAAAAATTTACAAAACTCTTGAAGCTCTAAAACATGCAAGGTGCATTTTTTTATTAGAAAATACGTTATCGTTTTTTTCAAACAACTTAATTTAAAGATCACATAAACTTAAAAAATGTTGCTTTTATTTCAGTAACAGTAACCGAAAAGGTAAGGTAACTTATGTTTGTGGACAACCTAAAAAAAAACAGTTTAATGTAGTTTAGGTACATGTTGCAGTATAAATTGAGCGGCAGATAAAAGAAAATTTTGTTTTAAATGGTTGTAAGTATCCAAATTATAATTATTTGGACAGATTAGTTAATAAAAATTATGAAATGTAAGAATAATATTAAATAAACATTAAAAACATTTTTTCTCAGAAACGATTAATTTTATCGATCTTTTATTAAAAATAAGTCTTCCTATGAACATGGACCTGAAAACAATTAATACAAAAGTTACACATTGATATCTGCGGGATCCATATTCAGTTTTCAGATTGACCTTTTGCATATAGTCGTATAATTAAATAAATTCACTCATATAGATTGTCTTTTATCTTCGATTTACAGTCAGTAACACGGCAAAGTATATCATACGTATTTGAAGATTAAATTCGATGAGTTGCATCCTTGAATGATTTAGCTTGTATCCATCGTTGATAAAGATTGTTTTGTATCGAGAGGTAATTTGTTATTTTTGAAAAAGTCGAGTAAAAATTTTTTTTTATTTTTTATCTTTATTAGGCCTTTCGAATACGTGATTAAAATTAATGACATTAGGACTGAAGCACCCTGTGGAATAATCTAGAAGCTGCCTTAACTGACCATCGCATCGTGGTTGTCATCTAGATATATGTAAAAGCTGACAAACGTTAATTCCAGGCAAATTGTAAACAAACCTTCTGAAAATAGACTGTACTGTAAAATAATTGGACAAAAATTTAAATATGCAGTTTATTTTGTAAATTTTCAAAACCTGATTTAAACGTAGTTAAATATTGATATGTAAATTACCAGTAAATACTTTTAATCGGTATTTCTTAGGAATTGGAAAATTTTCTATTGTATTTTTTTCTTTTGCTTATCAGTTTCTTCGCATTAGGACCATTTGGAAAAGGCCAACTACATTATATATTTCAAAGAATTTCAACTAAAACACCAGGGAAATAAATCAGTATTTTTTAACGTCGTCCAATGTTTTCGATAGAGTGCAGTGTAATAATAGATAATAGAGGCCTTGGCATCCAAAATAATAATGAAAGTTTGATAACCTTAAAATAATTGCAAATAGTTTAATTATATGTAGTATTTATTTAATAATGAACCATACAAGCGATTCAGCTTTATTACACACAATTTATATTGTTTTCAGGGATACTCCTCCATGTGATGGTGAAAATGTCAATTGCAAAGCCAAGGAAGATCTAAAATCTCATCAGTCGAAGCAAGAGAATTTTTCAGACACACGAATATACAAGTGTTATAAGTGTACTTATAAAACCAGGATCAGAAGCCATTTTACATACCATCAACTGAGTCACAAAAAGCTCTCCGAAGTATTGGCTTACAAATGCGATATTTGTGGTTTTCAAACCAAGTACAAAGGAAATCTACCGTCTCACAAATTGAAACACAAAGATCTTTCTGCGGTGCAATCGTACAAATGTGATTTGTGCGATTTTGAAACCAAGTACAAAAAGAGCATGACGAGTCATCAATTAAAACACAAAAACTGTTCTCAGACTCAAATGTACAAGTGTGATGTGTGCGAGTTTAAAACTAAGCACAAGGCAAGCCTGGTGCGCCATCAGATGTTGCACAGGGACAATTCAGAAGTTCAAATATACAAGTGTGATCAGTGTGATTATAAATCGAACCAGAAGGGCTACCTCACGATGCACAAGTTGAGACACAAAGATGTTGCCAATGCGCAAACATATACGTGTGATCAGTGTGACTATGAAACCAAATTCAAAAAGAACCTCACAGCTCATCTACAAAAGCACAAAGACATTTCGGAGGAACAAAGGTACAGATGCGATAAATGTGATTACGAAACAAAATATAGGAGCGCCTTAAAATCCCATCTGTTAAAACACAAAGACCTTTCCGAGACGGATTTGTACAAGTGCGATAAATGTGATTATGAAACTAAGTACAGGAGAGCCTTAATAAAGCATCATTTGAAACACAGAGACCGTTCCGAGACGCAAATGTACACATGCGATTTGTGTGATTACGAAACCAAATATAAGAGCAGCATAAAATCGCATCGACTGATACACGAAGACCTCTCTGCCGTGCAAACATACAAGTGTGATACGTGCGATTTTGAAACAAGGTATAAAAAGTCCCTAAAAAATCATGAACTAAAACACAAAGATATGAATATATAATCGATATATTTCAAATGACTTACTGAATTCAAGATAAACCTTTACGACTTCAAATATTGCACAAGGATTTTCCTGAGATTTGAATCTACATTTGTTATTATGAAAGTGAAATGACTGATGTTGACAGATTAAGGTACGAGACGAAATAATCAGACAAGGACAGAGAAATTAACTCGATCCAAACCTATCTCCTCGCAAGTACAATTTTCTGGTTCGGCAAACTCGACCAAACCATGTTAATTTACTTTCTTGCGAAAATGTCAAACTACAGCTAGTTGTAGTTAACTAAGTTAGTGGCTTCTGGCCAAAAACTTTAATTGAAATATTCTTGAAGATGGATTAGTGAGTTATGTTTTGTTTATTTTTAATTTTGAAACCTACCATAATGTATCATCAACAAAAATATGAATAAAATAACAATTATTTATCGTTAATGTATATTCCTTTGTAATATTCCATACTCATTGTTATGGATTGTGACATATCTTCTTCCATAATCCATTCAACAAACTTGCTTCGCTCTGCGTGGTCAGTAGGCCCAGTTCTTGAGTCTATTGGACTTTGTAAGCATGAAGACGCAAGTCTTTCGAGAGAATACGCTGAATTGATATTCTTGGACTCTCAGCAACTCTCGTGAACTGCTCTGATGTTTTGTGTTGGACGACTTCTTGAAGGATTGCTAGATATTATTTAAGATCACTGATTGATCCAGTCTCCCTGAATTTTTCAATTAATCTCTTCATAGTTGATGAAGTTAAATCACTATTCTGTGAATAGTTCCATATTTTGTACGAAAATTGCAAACTGTAGCTGCCAAACCATTATTTAAAAAATATTGCTCAACAATGAAAACATTCTTTCGTGTAACACTTGGTTCTGCTAAATAACACTTAGAAACATTTCAGTAGCCCTTAATGTTTAAATAGAGACAAGTTGGTCCAAACTGTAAAAAAAGCAAAAGGATCAGTTTTAGTTAGATTATAAATCTCCTAAATACTCTGTAACACTGTAACTAATAGTAGGAGTAGATTAAATCGATTTTAGTGCCATAGAACAAGTATATCTTTTTTATACTTTTATTTTACCTTGCACTAAAATAAATTTGTTATAAATTAAAATAATTTTAAAAAAGGCGCCAATAGCAAAAATCAACAATTTATCTTTTGTCAATAATAAAATTTAAAATTCTTAATCTTTCATTAATTTGCAGCTTATTTCAAAACTTAAGTAACAAGTTCCTATTTCTGTTTACTGCAACAAAAATCGCTGTTATCTAAAAAATTAAAAAATAGTTTTTTTCTTTTACTTTTATTATACTATTTTTACCCAATATGAATAAAAATTTCAGGTCTTTTGGACAATACTAGTGTCTGAAATTCACCTATGTTTCTAAAAATTTCTTCAAACTTTCAAAAAGCATTGTAGAAAGTGCAATTCCTGCCAAAACACTAGGAATTCATAAACGAATCATTACATAACAGGGCGGGAAACTACTTTTTTGCCCATGTTTCAAAAGTTTCTAGTTTTCATTTCCTTGCAGAAACCACAAGTGCCGTCAAAACGCCTCATATGTACCAGTCGATGCCGACAGCGCATGCTATGAAACGCTACACCGTCTGGATGCCAAAATAGACCTTTTTAGTAGTGACGTTATATACGCCAAATAATAGGCAACTCCATAGTGCACATTGTCGTGAAGGATTTCGCAATATTTTTACTAGATCGATTTTCGACTTTATGCATTTTGGACAGGAGTGCCAAAAAATAGCTTTTTTGTCATGACCTTAAATATGACGATATCCTGGCAATATTAGAAATATTTAAGAAGTTTCAAACCCCAAGTGACACTAAATGAATTATAGAATTTATATTTATATATTTATAGAACAATATTGACTTATAGTAATTAATAAATTAAAGTTATATCAATGTTACTGAACATGCGCATTAAAGATAATTTAATGTAAATGAAGTAGCCTCGCAACAGGATATCATTCAAGAAAAGTTGGTTATGATTAATAGTATGTGTATAATAAACCACTTGAAGAAAAAAACACTCAATAAACACTTTGACACAGTACAACACCAAGAAAAACAATAAAAATACTTGGTAGAACTAGAAAACCTTTCGAAGTCGCCAAAAGTCACAAGCCGTATCAGGCGACGATGACAACATATGCCCTTCATTGTTTAAAAATCGTCAACAGCGCAGAAAGGTGCCAGAGTCTTCACCACCTTTTCCAAAATCGGGGAAAGTAAAAAGTCCAAAAAATCAAAACACATCCAAAACGACCTTAGGTTCAACGGCGATGCATTGGACGTGGAGAGTTCTGTTGACACATGTGTACAACATCTAAGGCAAAATTCTAAACTAATAATTATGTCAATTCAGCATTTTTTTCAATAACAGAATCGGTGTTTTTTCCCTGCAAAATACATCACATTGAAAAAAGATTTTTTTTTTTGACTGTTTAATAGAAATTAATTCCCAATTTCGTTATATAGAAAAAAATTTTGAAATTAGGTACTCTACAAACTATTATTTAACTTCACGTGTGTTTGTATGTTTAGTTGAAATCTTGCAAGCCAAATTTGAACCACTCCCTCTAAACTGACAACTTTGAAATTTTGCATGCTTTTTCAGTTCAACACTAAAATCATAGAAATAACTTGATGCTGCACTCTGCAGCCAGGATCGTCTCCTCAAAAGTAGTGGCACGGACAGGAAATTGGTTGAGAAATATTCCTAACTAAAAATAAAAGGTGTACATAAATGAAGAGTAAATAAAGAGATTTTAAAAACAAGTTTTTATTAAAATGCACTGAAAAGAAAAAATAAACCAAGGTCACAAAACCCATAATGTGTAAACCACAAACCCGCAAAAAGGGTTGAATATGGTTGCTCTAAGCTTAAGCTTTTAAATCGCATAAAAAATGTGAACACACTGATTATAGATAGTACATGTCTATTTATCAATCTTTTGCTGATGACACTTGTATAGAGCAGCCATATTCAACCCTTTTGTGGGTTTGGGGTTTACACGTTAGGGGTTTTATGAACCCCTTGGTTTATTTTTTCTTTTTAGAGCATTTTAATAAAAGTTTGTCTTTAAAACATTTTATATTACTTTTCAGTTATTTATATTATACTTAAATATTTCCAAAAATAAAATTTTTTTTGTAAACTTATACCATATAAAATAGTTCAAACATAGGATGTGTACTTTTATTTCTTAAGCGTACAAAAGCAGTCGAGGCGGAATTTTCATGTACTTTAAAAAACTCTTACCATTTCCACATTTCTATGGAGCGTGTTCTTAAATAAATCAAGTTATTCATTGCTTGAAAAGCATTACAGAATCAGTGATTTCAGATTTTTTTTATTTTATCACGTCTTAACTACTAATTGAAACAAAAAAAAAAACAAATAAATTATATCGCAAAGTATAGTTTTTTAATAATTTTATCAACTATATACATAAGTTACATTGATCTCTATATTTCCGTTACAATTATAAAATAGAATGTTTAAACATAATCTTAAGAATACAAAAATAGTGGTTTTCTCTAAAGAATGGCTGAAGATTAGCCTTAATACTATGTACATGATCACAGTGAGATGATTTCCTAGTTATTTTGTTTGCTATTCATACCCCTGGTTTAACAAAAAACTGGAATTAATCTTATTACTTTACATTATTATTAAAAATGTTCACTTAAACTAATTGAACAAGAAACACAGTTTGGTCAGGATCTTTTCAATTCGGTGTTCATGTTTTTCTATTCACAAAAATAAGTTAATTATAATTAACTGTACAAGAAATTATATAGAACTTGAAAGTACAGCCTTCATAAATGATTACAAGCCACATGACGAGTAATTTTATTTCCTTCAGGTTAGCAAATTTCGGTAAAATTGAAACAATAAGATCAAGACTATATTAAAACACAACATTCTGTTTCACTGGCTGGTGACTGGTGTAATTTTTTACGAGATTCTATGCAACCAATCAGCGATCTCATTATCTCGAGCGTAGATGTAACGGTTTGTCATTGTTCCTTGTAAACGAAGCATTAATATTGGTGATGGGGGACCGCCTAGCCGGGTGTCTTGGCCGGCGGAATTCGATCTGCCGAGACAAGCATCACGGACGTGGGCTGGAATTTGGATGGGTGACCTAAGGCAGGCTCGGGGACGTGGCTGTGACAGCCTACCAAGAGACCTGGGTCGCCCAACATTTGCCGCACGCGTGTGGTCCCCGATAAATGGTAATGAGAACAGAGCAAGAAAATCTCTGTAACTTAAGACCATGCTATCATACATAAACTAGACGAGACTTTGCCACCAAGCCACCCGTGTAGTAAATAGGATGGTTCGAAGAAAAGTACTCGAGTAATGAAGGAGGGTGTACAAGGGGCCTAATAAGAGGCTTAAGTGCCGCGACATACATACATACATAATATTGGTGAAGCCAAGATGTAGGGACTTTTGTTTGGCAGTATTAATCATGCGATGTTGGTTGCCTAAGTTCGGTACTCACATGGTTTGTAATCATTTATGATGGCTAAAAGTAAAATAATTTTTACTACAAAATATACATTAGTTGTAGTTTTATTCTATTTTATACTTACCAGACATTGAGATATTGAAATTATAAAATAATGTAACTTTTCAAAGAATTTTTGTTGTTCTGATATCAACTATGACAAAAACCAACGTAAAAATAACTACGATAGATACGACTTTTAGAAAATTTCATTTAAGTATTTTCAATTTTACATTTTGTTCTATTAACATTTACTATAGAAACAGCTGTTATTTATTTATAGTAGCTATATTTACCTTGTTAATTTTTATCGAAGGTGATGAGAATAAAGTGCATATTTTTTTGAAAGGTTGATTGTTGATTTCAAGGTCAGGTACGTGTTTTTCAATTAATGTCAAAAATAACATTTCTTCTAATTTTATGAATTGATCGTTCCTTGTCAATGCCTCCATAGTTTATTATAATTTACAGATTTTAACCCACTTTCCAAACTCAAAATGAGTAAATGAATGTTTAATTATTTAAACAAAGAACATCTGGATGAACACTCTAATACGCCATATTTCATACATCTTACAACAAAAAAGAATTCTAAAATATCGAAACAAACAGAAAACTCTACTATGACTTTCTATCATCATTAATTATTACTCTGGATTACTCTGAAACATCCATACAAGTAGTTCTGTTCATTGTTTCGAAGTCTTTCTAATATGGATTCGCTTCCTTCTTTTGCTTGTAGGGAAACGAATTCTACATATGCTTTTTTTGGAAGAGGTGAGTTGTGATTCATCATTTCTCAAACCAAGTAGCCTGAATACAGGTATTTTTAAAATGCGTGCCAAACTTTCTTCATTATAATAACCTGGCTTGTGCTGTTTTATTTCTTTAGCTAGTGCAATTAACGTGTCTTCAAAAGAGTTTTCGGTGTTGATTTTTGCACCTTGTTCAATTAAGAATTTTACAACACTCAAACACTGATTACAATATAACTCATATGGGTACCTTTTAAAGTCCTGCACAAAACGTGAAATTGCTAAATACAATACCGTGTGGCCAGTATTGTCTCTGTCATTAACGTTCGCCCCATGGTCCACAAGATATTTAACAATGTTCAACTCTGCTGAAACAGTCGCATGGATCAACATGTGATCAATCTTGTCGACATTATCATCATCATATTCCATGTGTCTAGCAATAATCTGACCGACGCCCAAAAGAAGAAACAACTTAACATCACCCACATTTAATGAAACAGCTAAATGTAATGCTGTTCGGCCATCATTATCTTTGGAATTGACATCTGATTTACAATCCACAAGAAATTTGGCAACTTCCAACTTATTGCTTAAAAGAGCTACATGCAGTGCCGTGCACCCATCATTTTTTTTAATAGTAACGTCTGCACCAAATTCTGCAAGGTACTTGATAATGTCTAGCAGACCCTGCTCTGCAAGCAAATGCAGTGCGGTATTGCCGTAAATGTCTCTACTATGAAGGTCGGCACCGTGTTGTGTGAGTAACTTGACAATCTCCAGGTGGCCCTGTAAAGCAGCTGTGCTTAGAACGGTCCTTTTGCATATTTTGTCCCTAGTGTTAACGTTTGCTCCGCTTTTTAGTAATAAGTCTACCATATTCAATGTGCCTGCTCTAGCAGCATGGTGTAAAGGCGTCATCCCGTAATCGTTATCTTTGACTTCAACGTCTATACCGGATTCCACCAAAAACTTTGCAATGCAAATAAGGGAAGGTTTTTCTGAAATTGCACGAAGCACGGTGTTATTACACATATCCTTGCTGTTGACGTCGCCACCTTGCTTCACTAAATACTTGACAGTTTCTAATTGTCCTCCCATTGCAGCAGCAACAATTAAAGACTTTTTATTTATGATACTACAATTGACATCCAAGCCTCCTTTCCTTAGGATTCTGAGGATATTTAGTTTGCCTAAATATGCGGCTGCGAAAGGAATCATGGAATATTTTGCATCTAAAAAATGTTCTAAACGATCTCCCTCTAAAATTTTCTCCAAGAGATATGTGACGATATTTACGTGATTTTCGCATATGGCTACGTACAATTCGTTTCCACCATATCTTACATTTGCTTTAATGTCTGCTCCTTCCTGCACCAAGAATTTCACGACCTCCAAGTGACCTCCCTTTGCAGCTTCAGACAGTGTGGTGTTATGTCTTATCCTTTCAATGTTAATGCTTGAACCTTGTTTAACCAAGAACTCCACCATTCCTAAATGACCCTCACGAGCAGCTAGGTGCAGTGGTGTCATTTCTCTGCTATCTATAATGTTTACTCCACCCCTCTCTACAAAGAACCGCAAAATATCTAACTCATTTCCAAAAAACCGACATCTTAATATCTTGTCATTTTCATGAATTTGTTGGTACAATTCAAAAATGGTAGTTTGTTTGTCTCTAATGATTTTGAAATTTATGCATTTAAATAGCAGCTGAAGTGTAGCTACGCAACCTTCTACTGCTAAATAGTGAGCTAAGCAGGGAAAACGGTGTATGTATACATCGATCTCATACGACAATGACTGATAATTTTTGAAAATATTGTGTGGTATGTTATCCAAACAGTCCTGAAGTAAACTGTCAAAAAAATGAAGTATAATTTTATATTTTAAATGCTTTAGTATTTTGTCAATCAAGAATTTTTGAAAAGCTGCATTTTGGTTTAGACGTAATTCTCTTAGCAAACGTTTGGCAACAAAGTACTCGGCAAACGTTCTGTGGATGAAATGAAGATTGTTGTTCACTTCTTCTATAATTCCTATATTTAACACACTTGCTCTTATACTTTTTTCATCTTCTTCGAAACGAGTAAAAAGTCCACGTTCAGTTGTATCCAGGATAGCGTCCAAGGCTAGCGTTTGGTGGTAGTCAAGGCACTTATCCCACCAGTAAGCTAACGCTTCCGTTACTACCGTGTTTCCACTCGGATTGTTTTTATCCATAAAAACGTTTTGTTTTTTGTCAACGAACATCTTGTACAATCTTGAAATATTCACTTTTCCAGGTAGTTTTGGTTCTAAATCGTCCTCTTTTAAAAATTCCTTACATCCTTTCCAATTCACTTCCTCTTCACATCCACTGCCCTGCTGGAAAATCTCTGCCAGCATCCGCACTTGCAGCGGTATCGCGGTAAAGTGATTGCCTTCCCAAGGAGACGTTATTGTCCAGGATGACATTTTTCTCATCAGAGCATTAGCGTACTGCTTACACTTTTCTCGATCAGTATGGTCCAGCCGCAAATTGTGAGTCCAGTAACTCGTAAGAAAATCTAATTGGTTTCTCTCCGTAAATGGTTGCAACTTAAAGGACCCCACTTGTAACTTCTTTTCCAATTTTTGAGCTACATGTGTTCTGGTAGTAACTAAAACTTTAGTCAGATTAGGAGCTTTTTGGCAATCGACGAGAAAGTTTACAATGAGTTCAGTGTAATTGGGGCCAATTTCATCTACTCCATCTAACATTAATACCACTTTATTGTTCATCGAAAAGACAAACTTCTCTAATGGGCCTCTCAGTTTGGTTGCCTCTTGGGAATCGAGCAGTTCCAATATATTTATTCTCTTACCTTTTCCGAGCAAATCCTTTAAAACCCTTGTATAATGACCAAGTTCTAATTTGAGAATCCACAGGTGTGGATTTTTCTCTTTTATAATTATTGCTAATTTAGTGAGAACCGTAGTTTTCCCCGCACCCGCACTGTCAGAGATTATTATCATTTTCTCTCGCACCTCGAAGATGTTGCCTTCTTCTATCTCTTCATTTTTCCTGATAAAAATGCGGTTTATATATTGATGTTTAATATTTTCCTCCAAAAGTCCTAACTTTGATCCTACTTTAAGCTCTTCATTTCTCACTAGTCTCTCCAATATTTCTGAACTGAGAGCTTTGCTATAATTTTCCATAACTTCAGGAAAAAAGAGTTCCTTCAAGTTAAAGGGTTTATCTTGAAAAATTACACTTTTCTTCTTTAATAAATTATCCTGTGTCTCTTGCGAAAGATCTTGGAATGTCGGGGATTCTCTTATAACATCAAAACTGTTAGAGATTAATTTAATTTCTTGAGCCACTTTATTATGCCCTTCTGTCAATAAAATAACTTTTTTATGCTCATACTGGTCTAGGATTTCTTTTAATTTGTTACTGATACGCCTTAGCGATTTTGGGCGAACTATTATTAAGTAGACATAATTGTAATGCCCAAATCCATCAATTAGCTGCTTCTGATTTTCGATACTATAATCGGGAAAGATACACATTACATGCCGTCTCATACCTCGTACTGCCTGGTAAACATTTATTTCTTGCAACAAACAACTTCCATCGTCTATAATGTGGTAAATTCTTTTTGAATTTGGGAAATCCCGAATGCCACGTTGAAAAGAAACATTATATTTCTCCAATTCCTGCCAATATCTATCCTTCCTTATGTCAGAAAACATCGCCTTCGCGTAAATTTCATTCAAACATTTACCATCTTTCTGTTGGAACCAATGCATTATCTTACCATGTATTTCTGAAGGAGATACTTTGCAAATCCTCTTAGTCCTTCTTAGTAATTTTTCAATAACCTTCTCTAAGCAATTTCCTGCAGGATATTCGAAATATAATTGAAGGTGTGTCAGAAAATCTTTCAGATTTTCGTCAGTGATTATTGATTCGTGGGTTCCTTTATTTTTCAAATTCTCCCTACAATAATCCTTTGTTTTTTCTTTTAATTCAGGCAAAATTTCCTCCTTCAATGTATAAAATGTAAAATTATCTTCACAGTGCAGCATAATATCAGAAGAGTCTTCCTGAATATTTAAAAATTCCAAGGCCCTCTCATTGATATGAGTATTAGTGCAAATGATAACATTTTTCAATTTAAATTCTCCTTTAATGTCTTGGTAAGAAAAGAAGTACTTGGGAAGACTGAAATCGTCCTTTTTTGAGTTTGTAGACATCAGTTCTTCCATAGTGATCCCCGTCTTTTTCTCTTTATGTTTCGCCTGCAACAATATGGCGCCCCCTGGCCATTGCAGGACCACGTCATCGAATTTGCCAGCTCGCTTGTCTTCAGTTGACAATCTCCATTCTGTTAGCCATCTTAAAGCATTCAGAAGAAAGACAGTCAACAAATTCACTTGGAATTGTACTCCTTTACTTCCAGCAGTACCCGTTTTTTTGTATGTTTGACTTTCCATTCTTGTGAGGACAACACTGCAAGAAACAAAAAGTTGAATTAACTTTATTGCAAATTTTGTAGCTACATCCATATATACAGGGTGATCCATTAACGGTATCGAGCGGCTGTATATAGAAAACTAGATGTGCTACGATTATGGGGTAAAAAATCTATTAACAAATACGACCAGAAGAAATTGATTTAAAATATTTTCAAGTTTGTGACTTCACCGCTAGGGGGCGCAACTGCTATAGTGTTAACAGAGAATTGTCGGTTTTTCGAAATTTCGCTTATATAACCTAAGTTGCAAGTACATTTTTTAGATACACTATTAAACCCTGCACAAGTTTTGTTTGAACTTTTTTTTTGTTATTACCATATCAACGTCAGTATGAAAGCTGCTATCTTGAAATTAGGAATGAAAATATTATTTTCCCGCGCAACGGTAGACGACGTTAATGAGAAAAGTTTTGTAATTGTCTCTGTTTACTAAAAAAATTAAATGCAACGATGTAGGTTTTTTTTCATGGCTCGATAGACCATTATGGAAAACAAACACACAAACTGGAGGTCGATATCTTTTTTAGTTTTCAAATTATTGCTAAAATATTGAGGTTGTGCTAGAACATCCTCCTTTATTTAGTTCTCTAAATAACATTGACATAACCCAAGCCAAAATTAAATTGTAAAATTATACCAATCTTGTCCTTAAAAGAATTATTGCTTTAGTTTGAAATTTTGATAACTGTAATATTTCATTTTTTTATTTATTCCAAATATCTGAGTAGTTATAAAGATTATTGTTTCTATAACGAGGCAAGCTATGCCCGATGAAAATAAGCGAAATCTTGAAAAACCGACAATTTTCTGTAACACTATAGCAATTGCGCCCTCTAGCGGTGAAGTTACAAACTTGAAAATATTTTAAATCAATTTCTTTTGGTCGCATTTGTTAATAGATTTTTTACCTCATAATCGTAGTACGTCTAGTTTCATATATACAGCCGCTCGATACCGTTAATGGATCACCCTGTATATATATTAAATCTAATAGAAATTCGGAAAAACGAATAACTGATAATACGTATTGTAGCTGTGTTATTTAAAATCATCGAAAATTCAAAAGTTGGCTATGAATTTAAACATCCATCTTGATGATCAGGAAAAAAGTTAGAAAAAGTATTTCATAGAAAAATAAACAATTTAAACAACAGAAATAACATACAATTTGCACCGTTGTTATAAAAATTATTCAAAATGATCACCGTCTTCTCTCAAGCATAAATTTATTCTTCATTGAAAATTGAAGTTTACTCTATCCAATAGCTGCTGATTGTTTCTAATGCTCAAGATGCAACTGGCGAGGTATACACAAATTCGTTTAAGATTTCCTAAAGAAAAAAACCACATCTGTTGAGGTCTGGTGATCGTGGAGACTAAATTGTGGGCAATTATTTCCTCTTGCAATCCATTTATTTGGATACCGGTGGATTAAAAAGTCTTTAACAATATTACTAAAATCTTGGGTGCTCCATCACGCATAAACCAATGTTCCAGTCTGAATTATAGTGGCACCTCGTCAAGTAGATCCGGGAGTGTTTTGGAGAAATTCTAAGTAAGTTTCGCCATTTATTCGATTCAGTAAATAACTGGACCAATTAAATACCGATCAATAACACTGATTCAAACATTTATTTTAAACTCATGTTATCCAACACCCTGTATATATATTTTCATGCTATTTATATATTATTTTATAACTACTACTTTACTTATAAGTGTCTCCTATTATTGTGTTGACAATAGAACATCGAATGCTGAGTTGCTAGCTGATAATAAATCATATATAAACCCAACCAGCCGCTCAGGAGGACGACTATAGATTCAGACTACATGTTGTTAGTTGTAATTAGACAAATAAAAACTAGCCATAGCTTCCCTGTAGAGAAGGAAACAATAACTCTCATGTTGAAAATGTCGAGGAGTTATTCATCAGTAAAGAGAATTTTCTTTTGAAAATTAATGCCTTAATGTAAAATAAACTGATAGAAATTCACTGGTTTAACCAAATCATTCGGTAACAATTCCTGCACTTTTTGGGAGTGTTACTAAAAAACTTGCTGTTTCTCGAACCTGTCTTTCAACATTGGAAAATGTTTCTCTCTGGGGGATTACATGATTTGGAAGTCTTCTCCGATATTCCTCAACACTTCTGTAGTTTCCTTCACAGAAACCTAACACTAATAGTATGTCAACTTGTTCGCTAAATGAAAACTTACCGGCCATTTTCAAAACACTCAGCAAACAATTACTAAAATTTACGCAAGAATAAATTTATGCCTGAGAAAACGGTGATAATTTTGAACATTTTCTATAACTTATCAGTGTAAATTGTATGTTATTTCTGTTGTTTAAATTGTTTATTTTTCTATTAAATTATTCTTATTCCAACATTTTTCCTGATCATCAAGTTTGAAGTTTAAATTCATCCCCAAGCCCCTGAATCTTCAATAATTTTAAATAACAGTTACAATACGTATTATTCATGTTTTTGTTGAAAACGACAAAGTTTTTTGTAAACGTAACAAGAGAAAGAAAAGTTTTAGAATTAAATTTCCCATAAATTAAAGTAATAATTTTTTTAATCCGCTAGCGGGTTAAAAAATTCTGTCACATTTCTGACAACTTATTGTGAGTTTATTATTGAAATTACAAAAAAGTTTTTAATACAAAAGATTTAGCTTTTTTATGAATTTTTATAATACAGTATTAGAAAAAACAATTGAATAACGGAAATCACTAAATTAAAGAAAAACTTTTTTTTTCTAAATGGAACATCCTATATATTAGTGCTTACTTAGCTTCGTTAAATTTTTCTCTTTTAAAAAATATATAATATGTTACTGTTTGATTCAGGACATTTCAACATACCTATTTCAGTTTAAAACTATCTATTTTTGAAAAAAACAGGAGGGAAACTTATGTCTGACTTATCGCAGTGGCTATGGACGAGGCACGCGGAACAAACGAACGACTTTGACAGAAGTTTATTTATCATCATTAATGTATTTCCTATAACAAACTAGGTATTTTAAGAAAGAAATAACGTTTAGTGAAAGTGAAAAATTTGAATACGTTTATTTTATGATAATAATAAAAATCATTCTTAACTTTAACAAGTCTTAACCTTAACAGAATTTTAATACCTAATTAATAAAAACCAACTAAAACACAAATGGTCACAGATGCTCAATGTGACCGCCATTATTATTGATGCACTTCGTATAATCCTCATTAATTTTCAGAACTGCATTTTGTATGAAATGGGAATTAAATTTGTGTAATTATCATAAAGGGCCATTCACAATCATTCAATAGAATCTGTCACCAAAAAAATGGATGATTTACATTTAAAAATACTAAGAATTAGTAACGATAATAAAAGCAATAACTGAAGTCACTAAAATAAAATAGTTGTGATGATATTCCATTATTTTCTATTACTTCCTTAAGTTGACCAGTTGTGTGCAGATTTAAACAATTTTCGAAGCTTTCATTTTTATTTCTTCTTTACACTTTGATATTTGTACAAGTTGTCAATCTCCCTGACTTAAACACAATTATCGATTTTGGAAATAAAAACATCAACTTTCGAAAAATAAAAGATTATGCCACCAATAAACAATGTCAAACAATATCTTAACTCATGTTAAAAATATGTTACATATAATGACTGATAATTCACATCCATATCTTTATAGGTTGTTTAAGGTGCAAAAATTAGATCGTAACTACTGATAATATTGATAAATTACCATCCAAAACTTTTAGACACTTTTATACCGGTTCAATATATTTTAATAAGATCAACTTTTATCAATTCCTTTGTGTGTATGTTGTCGACAAGCTTTAATACTTAATATATCGTTAATTAATCCAACATTTTTAACGGGATAAGTCCTAAAACAATTTATTTCTGCGATACAGAGCGTCCAATTTGAAAAATACTCAAAAAATCAAATTCTGGATTTTTAATGAGTTAAATTACCAGAGGGTTTGTTTCACTAATTTTTAAATTTATTAACAAGGGGTAAAATACCCAAAAAATAACGAAAAAAACAAATGCCACAAATAAATAACTTCAAACGGGAAACAAATGGTTTTAGATATTTTAAATTTATTCACACGAGACTTTTCGGTCAAAATTAATCAAAGGAACGATATAAATCATAAAAAAATAACATTCTTCATCATATTTATCATAATCTGTAAAATATATAATGCTGAATTTTTTAAGAAATGGATAACGAAAACCCTTTTTAGAATTTAAACAGGGAATATATTACCCTTACCATTAGTTTATCTGCATAATACAAACGCAGAATTGGTGTTCAGTTCAATCTGTTGAGGCACACAATTTTGGCAGTACTTCTTCCAGTATTGGTCCCAACTACAAAAAAAAGTACCAGGGAATGTCTAAGGTTTAAAATTACTATTAATATCTTATTTATTGATCAAAATATGTCATATGTATTGTGTACTTATGAAATTTATTTATTATTCTTATCAGCACAAATACAAAGTAAAATAACAGAATTAACATTTGATACAAATTTATATTACAATTTACTGTTTCTGATAAACCTCTTCGACTATACAGGGTGTAACTTTAAGTAGGGGGTCAGTTTTTTAAGGGTAATTGTACGTCTCCCCTGAATACGAATCTAAAATTCTTTTATTCAATCAAATAAATAGTAGAGTTACAATTAGTTTTTTAAAATGCACTTTAATATAATACTTGTGTACGTCGCCACTGTAATATTCGTGTATTACAAATACATGAATTGTAGGCAACCTACAGTGCACGTGAAGGGAGATAGTCAACGGTGACAAACGAAGGGGCTCAGTTGTTCCGCATTTGGAGACAGTACACCTGTGAATTTGAATACTTTTCATCGCTGGAAGCCATCAACCGACTATTTATTTGTGTGTATTTAATTTTTCTTTATTGACTACTGCTCGAGTTTTTTGCTAGGTTAGTTGTTAAAGTACTGTTTGTGCGGCGACTAAAGCGAGCCATTATTTGAGGTTACACTAAATTGTCCAGCGGCAGGGTATGAAAATTAGTAAGAAAAGGTTAAAAAAAAAATAGCTTTTGACGGAATTTGAAAAAATTAACTATTGATATACGTTTCTAAAGGTCAAAGGAAACTTCTGTATAAATATGACTTCCACTCAAAGTAACACCCTGTATAGCTAAAGTTTTAAAATAAGAGATTATTTTCTTATAAATTTGAAAATCGTAATCTGCATTGATTATTAAATTAAATTAAATTTTATTAACTTGCAAATTGATCTTTTAGTAATGTTATTATTAGGTAAAATAATCCCCCATTTTAAAATAACAGGACAAATGTATTTTCTTCAGATAACAATTAAACATTTCTTTTTATTTGTAATACTGTTTTAAATATTATGTAATCATTTAAAATAAAAAAAAATGCTTGGGAAAATGGGCATATTATAATTCAGTGGGGTTCGGCCAAAATTTTCGAGAAGGAAAATAATACTCTTAAGGAAATTAAAAGACCGTGATTATTTTGCTGAATGGTCAAAAATGTGTTTCAAATTATTCTATGAACTTGGATCCTTGCCGACTACAAATTCTAAAATCTACCTAAATAATAATAAAATCATGTCACTAATTATGGAAACAAGCAAAACAAACTAATTTAAACAGTCAAACATAATTTAAAATAAGTCATTCCAAAATATACATACGTGAGGCCAGGAACCTGAAAAAGTGGCCAAGTGTTCCAATGCAATGAAATGTGGTAGGTAGTCCAAGGTTTTTGGAGTCATTGATTTCAAATCCGTATTCGAAGTTAAGAAATTCAAAATGGTGGATCCAATATGGCATACGAAAATGCTGAAGATGCTCTGATTGTGCTGAAATTTCGTCGTTTTTTATTATAAATTAATAGATATTATAAATTATTAGAAAAAAAAAATCGTTTTTTTCTGTTGTAAATCCAATTAACTAGTTGAAATATTTCTTATAATAGTGTCCAGAGGGGTTTTTTATTCGTAATCAGCAACCTGAAAAACCCCCGAGTACTGATTTTTGTGAAAACTAAAAATTTTTATGAAGTATTGGTCTGCCGTATTGGATTTTGAATTTTACAATTTTGACTTTTGATTCGTAATCACCGATTCGAAAAACCCCCGGGTACTGATTTTCATGAAAATTAAAAACTTTTTTTGAATTATTAGTCCGCCATATTGGATCGGTTATTCTGAATTTTACAATTCTGAATTCTGATTCGTAATCAGTGATCCCGAAAATACTTAGATGCCACATTAAAAAAAGTTCCATCAAGAAATAAACTGTATGGCTCAAAGTGTTAACCTCTTTTACGGTCGCTGTCACGGTTTATTTAGAATTCTTCGAATTATGTGAATATTCGCAAAAGTTCTCAGATTTTTTTTAAATTACACACTTTAAGGAATCCAATGATACATTGCTCCTTTGGATAAGTAAGTAGTGGAGTTTAGGGAAGTTCTGTTTCCAAAGTGTGGTCAAAACGTCGAAATTCACTAATATATGAGTATAACGTTCCGCCATTTTCTCCGTTTTTTACTTTTGTACTTTGCGCCCTATTACAATGATTTATCGAAGTAAAATGATGGATGAGATGTAATAGCAGACTTTTGATTTGTTGAAATACAACAGTACCAATGAAGTATTTGAAAAGTAAAATCGCTGGTTTCCCACATGATTTTAAAAGTTTAAGTCGTTGCCACATTGAGAGTAGCTGGTCAAATGAAACTTTAAAAATAACTAGTTTAGCTTTAGATAACGACAAGACATTGTTTAAACTCATCTCCGCAGTCGCTTTTTGTTACTTTTTCAGTTTCCTGGCCCATAGTGCAATGGTTTAATTTTTTTCACAAGTGGCAAAATATCTAAATAAAGAAAACTAGAACTAAGCCAGAAATAAGGCGCTTGAGACAATATAATATCCTATGTGTCTAGCAATACTCTGACCGACCCTTAAAGATGACAAAACTTAACAGACATATCTGATGAAACAGCTAAATGTAATGCTATTTAAACGTTCTACACGTAGTAGCAACGAGCGGCAGTTATCTCTTTCTTTTTAATATAACGTATGTACAAAACCTTTCAGGATACATAACAATGTCTAACAGACCCTGATTTACAAGCAACTGCGCGGTATGTGATATTGTTGTAAGTGTCTAACATGAATATCAGCCATATTGTGTGAGTAACTTGACGATTTCCAGGTGACCCTTTAAAGTAGCTGTGCTTAGAGCGGTCCTTTTGTTATTTTGTCTCTAACGTTCACATCTGCTCCACTCTGTACTAATAATTCCGCCATTTCCAATGCGCCCGCTTCAGCGGCTCGATGTAAGGCCGTCATCTCATACATGTTTTTACTATCGACGTCTATCCCTAATTTCACCAAGAGCTTTGCAATGCAAATAAAAGGAAGGTTTTTCTGAAATTGCATGAAGCACGGTGTTATTAAACATATCTTTGCTGTTGACGTCGGCACCTTGCTGCACCAGATATTCGACGGTTTCTAATTGTCCCCCTGTTGCGGTGCCAAAAATCAGAGACTCTCTGTTTCCTATTCTACAATTGACATCCAAGCCTCTTTGCACAAGGAAATGAAGGATATTTGTTCGGCCTACATATGCGGCTGCGAAAGGAATCATGGAATATTCGGATTCTACAAAAAGTTCTAAACCATCTCCCTCTAGAATTTTCTCCAAAAGATATGTGACGATATTTACGTGATTTCCCCATATGGCTACGTACAATTCGTTACCGCCCTGTCTTACATTTCCTTTAACGTCTGCGCCTTGCTGCACCAAGAATTTTACAACCTCCAGGTGGCCACCACTCGCGGCTTCGTACAGCGGGGTGCAACGTTTCTTGTCTGTAACGTTAATATTTGAACCTTGTTCTAGTAAGAACCTCACCATTTCTAAGTGGCCCCTCCCAGCGGCCAAATGCAGCGGCGTCCTATCCAAGGTATCCTTAACGTTTACTCCACCCCGCTGTACAAAGAACTGTAGAATATTTAACCGATTTCCACAAAACGAAGGCTGAAGTATCCGTTCATTTCCACGAATTTGTTCGTACAACTCGGAAATGTTAATTTCTTCATTTTCGATAACTTTGAAATTTATGCAATTAAGTAGAAGCCGAAATGTAGCTACGCAACCTTCTTCTGCTAAATAGTGAGGCAAGCTGTGGAAATCATATGGGTATACATCGATGTCATACGACAGACTGATAATTTTTGAAAATATCGTGCGGTATGTTATCCACACAGTCCTGAAGTAAACTGTCAAAGAAACTAAGTATAACTTTAAATTTGGTGTTTTGTAGAATTTCGTCGACCAAGAACCTCTGAAAATCTGCATTTCGGTTTTGAAGTAATTCTCTCAGCAAACGTTTGGCAACAAAGTACTCGGCAAATGTTCTGTGGATGAAATGAAGATTGTTGTTCACTTCTTCTATAATTCCTATATTTAACACACTTGCTCTCAAACTTTTTTCATCTTCTTCGAAACGAGTAAAAAGTCCACGTTCAATTGTATCCAGGATAGCGTCCAAGGCTAGCGTTTGGTGGTAGTCAAGGCACTTATCGAACCAGTAAGCTAACGCTTCCGTTACTACCGTGTTTCCACTCGGATTGTTTTTATCCATAAAAACGTTTTGTTTTTTGTCAACGAACATCTTGTACAATCTTGAAATATTCACTTTTCCAGGTAGTTTTGGTTCTAAATCATCCTCTTTTAAACATTCCTTACATCCTTCCCAATTCACTTCCTCTTCATATCCACTGCCCTGCTGGAAAATCTCTGCCAGCATCCGCACTTGCAGCGGTATCGCGGTAAAGTGATTGCCTTCCCAAGGAGACGTTATTGTCCAGGACGACATTTTTCTCATCAGAGCATTAGCGTACTGCTTACACTTTTCTCGATCAGTATGGTCCAGCCGCAAATTGTGAGTCCAGTAACTCGTAAGAAAATCTAATTGGTTTCTCTCCGTAAATGGTTGCAACTTAAAGGACCCCACTTGTAACTTCTTTTCCAATTTTTGAGCTACATGTGTTCTGGTAGTAACTAAAACTTTAGTCAGATTAGGAGCTTTTTGGCAATCGACGAGAAAGTTTACAATGAGTTCAGTGTAATTGGGGCCAATTTCATCTACTCCATCTAACATTAACACCACTTTATTGTTCATCGAAAAGACAAACTTCTCTAATGGGTCTCTCAGTTTGGTTGCCTCTTGGGAATCGAGCAGTTCCAATATATTTATTCTCTTACCTTTTCCGAGCAAATCCTTTAAAACCCTTGTGTAATGACCAAGTTCTAATTTGAGAATCCACAGGTGTGGATTTTTCTCTTTTATAATTATTGCTAATTTAGTGAGAACCGTAGTTTTCCCCGCACCCGCACTGTCAGAGATTATTATCATTTTCTCTCGCACCTCGAAGATGTTGCCTTCTTCTATCTCTTCATTTTTCCTGATAAAAATGCGGTTTATATATTGATGTTTAATATTTTCCTCCAAAAGTCCTAACTTTGATCCTACTTTAAGCTCTTCATTTCTCACTAGTCTCTCCAATATTTCTGAACTGAGAGCTTTGCTATAATTTTCCATAACTTCAGGAAAAAAGAGTTCCTTCAAGTTAAAGGGTTTATCTTGAAAAATTACACTTTTCTTCTTTAATAAATTATCCTGTGTCTCTTGCGAAAGATCTTGGAATGTCGGGGATTCTCTTATAACATCAAAACTGTTAGAGATTAATTTAATTTCTTGAGCCACTTTATTACGCCCTTTTGTCAATAAAACAAGTTTTTTATGCTCATACTGGTCTAGGATTTCTTTTAATTTGTTGCTGATATGCTTTAGCGATTTTAGGCAAACTATTATTAAGTATACATAATTGTAATGCCCAAATCCATCAATTAACTGCTTCTGATCTTCGATACTATAATCGGGAAAGATCCACATTACATCCTGTCTCATAGCTTGTACTGCCCGATAAACATTTATTTCTTGCAACAACTTCCATTGTTTATAATGTGGTAAATTCTTTTTGAATTTGGGAAATCCCGAATGCCACGTTGAAAAGAAACATTATTTTTCTCCAATTCCTGCCAATATCTATCCTTCCTTATGTCAGAAAACATCGCCTTCGCGTAAGTCTCGTCTAAATATTCACCGTACTTTTGTTGGAACCAATCCATCACTTTACTGTATATTTCCAGATGAGATACTCTGCGAAACCAACTAGTTCTTTATAGTAGGTTTTCAATAACCCTTTCCATGTCATTTCCTGCAGGATAGTCGAAATATAATTGAAGGTGTTTCAGAAAATCTCTCAAATTTTCATCAGTGATTATTGATTCGTTGGATTCTTTATTTTTCAAATTCTGCCTAAAATAAATCTGCGCCTTTTTTTTAATTCAGGCAAAATTTCCTCCTTCAATGCATAAAATGTAAAGTGATCACCATAACAACACAACATACTCTCAGAAAAGTCCCTCTGACACTTTAAAAATTTCCAGGCCTCATCGTCGACGTTAGTATTAGTACAAACTATAATATTTTTCAATGTAAATCTGTATTTAATTTTTTGGTAAGAGAAAAAATACTTGGGAAGACTGAAATCGTCGTTCTTTGAGTCTGTGGACATCAGTTCTTCTACAGCGATCCGCTTCTTATTTTCTTTATGTTTCGCCTGCAACAATACGGCACCCTCTGGCCATTGCAGGATCACGTCATCGAATTTGCCAGCTCGACTGTCTTCTGTGGACAGCCTCCAGTTTGTGAGCTTCTTTAAAGTGTTGAGAAGAAAGACAGTCAACAAACTGACTTGAAACTGTACCCCCTTACTTCCAGCGTTACCACCTTTATAGTACCTTTGACTTTGCATTCTCGTGAGGATAAAACTGCAAGAAACAAACGTTTTCTTTATATCTCAATTTATTGGATTAATATAATTACATCTAGTGCAAATTTTGTACATAAGTTTTACATAAATTTAAGATTTGTATACAGGGTGTTTTTAAGTAGAGGTAAAAAATCCAAGGGTGTATTCTGTGGCCAAAAATAAGGTTTTTCGTTATATAAATGTGGGGTCTTAGCACAACCATTGTCCAGCTACAGCAGTGGCGGAGGTGTGGGTATCATTGATCATTATTTGCCAAAAAAAATAGGTCATCATATGCACCATTGTATTATCTTTACTTTTTGTTTCTTTACACTTTTTTGTATTCCAAACTGATTAACAACAAAATTGATTTATTTGGTCAAGTGCATTTTTAAACATATCTTAAAGAGGCCAAGCAAAACAATAATAATAAGCTGTAATCTTATTTAATATTGTGTATTGTCAAATTAAGTTTATTTTTTAAAGATTAAAAGAAGAATGTTCAGAAATGGTTTTCCTTTTCTGAACATTACCCTCGTTACCCCTAAATGAGGGTAAAACCACCCCTAAGTTCAACCATCGGCTTCAAAGTACATAAAATAATTATAATGCATAAAAAATGTTTCGAAATACATTCATTAGAATAATTTATATACAAGTACTCAATCATTTTCAGAAATAATCATCCCTCTCAAGGGGTAAAATCATCCCCCAATTATACAAAAATTATTAACAATGTGAAAAAAAATAAAAATTGTTTGTGTTTTCCATCCGATGTGACAATTAGAAGTTATTCACTTGTCAAATATCAAGTACGATAATAATAAAAAAATTTGTTTCCTTTCTTTCACATTATTTACAATTTTTGTATATTTGGGGGATGATTTTACCCCTTGAGGGATGATTATTTTTGAAAATGATTGATAATGTATGGGAGTACTTGTGTATAAATTACTTTAATGAATGTGTTTCGAAACATTATTTTTTTCATGCATTATAATTATTTTATGTACTTTAAAGCCGATGGTTGAACTTAGAGGTGGTTTTACCCTCATTTAGGAGTATTTTCCTTCGGATCTAGTGATTCTGGGTTATTAACGGTTCAATTATCACGTATAAAAGAAAAAGAAAAAAAATACTATAAAATAACTTTTAATATATTTTTTGCATTTTTAGGCGTTTAGGAACCCCTAAACGGATATTATGAATCGATTTTCAATCCGGACAAGGCCGTATCAAATACGAAATTAGATATTTTCACGATCATAATATTATTTTGATAACGACGGAAATATTTGGGGTTTCACAACTGTTGGTGATGCTTAATTTGTTCACTTTTTTTGTCTTTTCAACCCAAGGAAGGGTCATTTTTCGAAAAACTAAAAGTGATGCTCATTTTAGTTTTTCATGACGAGTATTTGGATATTTTTTGGATTTTCCCTGTCGCCTCTATCAAAGTCTCAAAAACAATTGGAAAAATGCTTTTTTTTGCGTTCACTCTTTTCTTGTTGGGTCTTATTTTTTACTAAGGACTTTAACCTGTGCCTCCTACAGACATTTTCTTGAAAACGTTTTACCTGAACTACTTGACGATGTTCCCTATGCGCCTAAAGAAAGAATGTGGTTCGTGCAGGACCGGGCTCCCCCAGGTTTTAGTTTGACTACTCGTGAATTTTTAAATGAATGATTCGGTAATAACGGTGATTGAATGAGGCACTGAAGAACCAGGTCAACCTTGGCCAACCAGATCACCCAATATGAACCCCATTGATTTTTTTGTTTGAGGACATATCAAGACATTAGTTTACAAGGTTCACATTGAATCTGAGGAGCACTTATGTCAACAAATTATAGCTGGTTATGATGTGATAAGAGCTACTCCTGGAATTTTCACACGTGTTCGAGCTGCAATTTCAAGAAGATCTGAAACATGTATTTTGGCTGAATGTGGCAATTTCCAACATTTGTTATAATAAATCATAGTAAAGTAATTGTTAATTAATTATTTTGTTATTATTTTAAGTAATGCAATAAGTATCGTAAAAACGCACTTGATCAAATAAATCGATTTTGTCGTTAATCAGTTTGGAATGCAAAAAAGTGTAAAGAAACAAAAAGTGATGTGAATAATGATCGATGATACCCACACCTACGCCACTGGTAAGTTTCTAAAGTTGGTAATTTTTTGTTTTATATCTACTGTCATACTAAATATGCAAACCGAATTTGGTTAAATTATCTCCAGGGCTTTAGAAATTAAAAAATTAAAAACTAATTTTTTTTTAATTTTAATTTTTGACAGGCTGGACAATGGCCACAAAATACGCCCCTAGATTTTTGACCTCTAAGAACGCCCTGTACAAAAATTTTACATCAAACATTTAAAATTTTAGAAACAAAAATATTAAACATAAAACAGACAACACTTAATAAATCAGTTGATAATTTATCATCAGATCAGGCTAGATCGTCCTTTTACTCCTAGCACTGAAAATATAAAAAATTACATTAAATCTGTCACATTAACATCTCAAGTTATTCTTTATTTTATTTGAATATTTTATCACTTGCAGACAAAAATTTAAAAAGTAATGAAATAAACCCTCGCACCAAAAATATCAGTCAAGGATTGTTATGATAAAATTATTCTTGCCTTATCAAAAATGTTACGCTGAAAAAAGTAGGTAAACAAAATATTAAATCTACTTTAAATTAGTTTTATGTTACAAAAATCAATCTGTTTTCGCTCTTTAAAATAAACATTCCATTAAAAATAGAATCAGTATTACCAAGTTACAAAAAAATATTTACAGATTTCAATAAAAAAACGTTTGAAGTTATTATACCAGGTCTCTTGAGTTGTATTGTCCCAATGGCATATTTCTATTATTTAAAAAATAATAATTTTTGGGCTTCTTTAAATTTAGCCCAATATTAAAATCCTTTCACTTTCGGTGTAATCGGGAACGACAGTAACTTTTTTATTTTAAATGACACCCTGTATACTTTTCTTAAAATTTGAGTTTGGACTCAAATCTTCAAAGAGTTGGAGATCGTCCGCATCATATTGTGGCAGCAAAATCAAATTAACCTTAAAGTGATGATATGATGCACTTACTTATCAGTTGTTTTTAAAAATGAATTCAGGTTAGGCGAAAATAATACTATTTAAACAACTTTTTTGGGGTTAAGGCTTTGTTTAATTAACTTTTAAATCTGTTTTCACAGGTGGCAAAATACAAGTAAATAATTTCAGACAATATTTTAACTCATTTTAGAAATTTGTTACATAATGCAATGATTGATAATTCATATCAATATCTTTGCACTTGTTCAAGCTGAATAAATTAGACTGTAACTACTGATAATATTTATCAATTACCTTATTTAAAATTTTTAGATATTTTTGCATCTGATCAATATAATTTAATAAAATCAAGTTTAATAAATTCCTTTGAATGTATGTTGTGCAGTGTTCACTATATTCTGACCACCCACTATTAACTTTTTTGTTTGTGAAATACAAAAGTTGCACGACTTTTTATGAATTTTTCGAAAATGATAATAGAAAAACAAATGAAGTCCAAACAAAATGGGCGCGGGTGTTAAATTTGTTATTTTAAATGGAATACCCTGTATATTTTTAAATATTTGGATAGAGCGTACTCTGTCGATCAGTCATATACCCTTATAAAAAGAAAAGAAGCTTTTTTATTAAGTAAATAAGATACCTTGTAATTGTTAGACTTCTTTGAAGAATTTCTGTATTTTTTTCCAATTACGTAAAGATTTACAGATTTATTTTGTCCAAAATGCATATAGGTATTTTAACTAAATCTCACTAATTAAGCCGTGAGAGGCCTAATTACTCATGGACAATGTTATATGGTAGACCGTAACAGTGACAGGTAATGTCATGACAACATTGTTATTGTTTGATGGTTTGTATTATTGTTTAATTAAAATGGGTTACACAGAAGTAGAAAATTGAAATATTTTGAAATTGAATTCAAATAGAGTAAAGATCTTCTCCATACTCTACTGTCAACCACTCCCCGTATTTGCCTGATTTATCACCATGCGTCTTTAACCTTTTCGGAAAAATGCAGTTGCCGATGAAAAGAAAGAGGGTGTAGAAGTCATCCAAAGGACTTGTACCAAGATGCTGAAGGACATCCAGCCCGACGAGATAAAACACTTATTCGACTTGCTTTTAGACCGTTCAAATCGTTGTATTGAGTCGGGAGGGGACCATTTTGAATAAAATAAATTGGATTTGCCAAAAAAAAACTTGTTTTTATTTTTAAAAAGTCCTATTTACTTTGGAACGCCCCTTATAGAACTAAAATAACCCAAAAATTTCCCATTTCAGAAATTTTTATCTGAATTACAATCTTGACTTGATACAGCTATTAAAAATTGAAATTTTTCCCCTTTTTCTTAATCCTTGATTGCAAATTATATTCCAAACCAAAAATTCGCAATTTTTTGAATGATTTTTTTGAAATTTATTTAACGAATTTTGGTGAATTTTTAATTTTAGTTAGTTAAACCATCATCCTAAGCTTCGTCAATTTGTGGCAAGTATTTTCGGAAATTTTTGAATAAATACAATATTATTTTAAACATCAATCAATCTTTATCTTATTAATCAAAGGAATGATACAGACCATGAATTATGAAGAAAATGACATTCTCCAGCATATTTATCATAAAATTTGTACAAAATATAAATCATATAAATTTCTTAAGAAACCGGTAACGAAAACCTGTTTTAAAATATTCAATTATATATCAAACATCAACAATGAATATAATACCCTTACCTTTAGTTTATCTGCATAATACGAACGCAGAATTAGTGTCCAGTTCAATCTGTCGAGGCACGGAACCTTGGCAGTCCTTCTTCAAGTGTCAATCCCAATACAAAAATACTGGGGACTGCCTAAAATTTAAAATTATTATTATTATTATCTTATCTAATAATCAAAATATGCCACTTATGCTGTGTACTTAAAATGGAAATTTTTTTGTACCGTTTTCTACACAAAGAGAAAGTAGAATGATAAAAATAAAGTTTAAAACATACGTTTTGATTGCAAGATAAGACAATTATACAATTTCTGTTTCTGATAAACTTTCTTCGAACATACATCTAAGGTTTTAAAATAAGGACTATTTTCTTATGAATTTGAAAATTGTAATCTGCATAGATATTTAATGATTAAATTAAAATATTTTTTACAGACTTGCAATTGTGTCGTTACAAATGTATTAAAATTACTATCCGGTAAAATAACAGGACAGATGCATTTTCTTTATTTATCAATTAAACAATTTTTTATTTGTAATACAATTCTAAATAATAAATAATCAAGTCAAAAAAAAATCATTGGAAAGATTTTAAATTATTTTGAGAATCCCAAGCCTGCAACTTTTTTTCAAACCCAATTTAAAATATATGTTGTTAAAAAGCAGCTGTTTGCAGCCATTGTTTGCAGTTCAATTGAAAAAATCCTTGAACTTGCTTTAAAATCTTGTAAGATGATGTTATAAAACAATTATTATAAAATCTACTATGGTTTCTATATGAAATAATTAGTTATACTGGACAATTTTTAATTTTAATAATGCAATGAATGATTCTGATATTTAGTATCGATTTCTTAAAACCCCTAATAAGGCTTTTTAGGGTAAATTTAATAGCTGCGCGATCTTTAATACTGATTTTTTTGTGAATTTTAGCAGCCTTTGGGCGTTATAGATCAATGATTGAATCCGCCAATTCAAAATTCGCAGTAAAACTATAGTTACTTTGAAAACATATCAAATACATATATTTTAATGCTATGTCCGATTAAATTGACCTTAATATGAGTTTTTACAAATATTCTTCTCTAATATATGATTTTCCTGTTGACTTCTAGCCGCCATATTGGGTCGCCATTTTGAATTTATCAAAGAAGCTTTTTCGAAAGGGTCATTCCTAACGAATCTTTTAAGCCCTTATTCCAGCTAAAAGCTCCATATACAAAATGTACAAATGTACAAAAAAATGTACAAATGTACAAAATGTACAAATGTACAAAATGTACAAATGTACAAAATATACAAATTTCAAAAGATGTATAATTATTTTAATCCTGGATATATAAAATAGAGCTTCCTTTTAAACAAAAATCTCCTTGTATCTATATCTATCTATAATGCATTTATTTAGTATTCAAGTAAGCAAAAATTATCAAAAGAAAAAGTTTTTTCTAAAGTTATAAATAATAATCTTCCCTATTTGGTACAAATTTTATGGTGACCACCGTATAATTTTGCTAAATATTTGTGGAAAGAATATTGACAAATTCGCAAACTGGAATTTTTTTTTAAATCTACTTGAAAACCCTAGAAATATCACAGAATTTTTTCGTCCAAATTTAGTACACATCTAAATTTACCTGAATGAAATTAGGAGGATTGGTTGGTCGTTTTCTTCTTTCGACGTAGAGAGGCATCGTTGGCCAAGTTTGGAGCTTCTTGGCAATGAACCAAAGGCGGCTTGCGACGAGTTGTGTGTAATTGGGGCTTCTCAAATAGGTTTGTTAGTTTGGTTGCCATTTGGGAATATAGCAGTTTTGATATAGTTTTTTCGAGTAAATCCTAAAGTAATGACAACGTTCCACTCCACAAGTGTGGATTCTTTTCATTTATAATAACAGTTTTTAATTTTGTCTTTCACCTCAAAGAAGTTACCTTCTTTCCTTTCATCTTTCCCGATAAGGTTGTGGTATATGTAGAGATTTCCGATACATTACTCCAAAGGTTCCAGCATTGCACTATTTTGAACTCTTCATCTCTGACTAGTCTGTGACACAGTCGTTAACCGTTTCTGGAAAAAACAGTTCTTTCAAATTAGACATTTCCTTTGAATACCATGGCTTCTTTTTCTTTAATAGTTTTAAAAATTCAAATCACTACTTTGAAAAAACATATTGTACTGTTTGAACGATTACCAATATTTATCCCCACTTATTTTAGAAAACATCGGCTTTGCGCAATGGCGGCGCATGAACAATGATTGTATGTGTTCTGCTTAGGGTCGTCACATTTGTCTAATTCAATTCTGGGATATTAAGTCTGCCCGGAGAGCCTCTAAATGGCTAAAATTCTGAAAATTTTCAAGGTCACGCGTTTTCCTGGTACTCTGAATTTCAAGGAACAATCCATTTATACAAAAATACAGACTTTCACAAGAAGAATAATATCTATTCACAAATTACTTACTGACGGTATAAATAAATTGGAATAAACTAAATATAATTTATTAAATATTGTTTATAAACAAAAAAATCGTTTGTGAAGTTTACCGACGATTCAGCGAATTTTAATTTTCCTCACCGTGTTATGGTTTTTTCTTTATCTTTTTTTATATATATTATATTCCGGGAGTTATACGTGCAAATCTGAAATCCGGGACCGTACAGCTAATTTCCGGTACAATCACAGAAAATCCAGGCCATGCCCATGTGGCAATCCTATATAGTTCTACCTGATGCCGTGAAAAAATATATAAATAAACTTACCAAAGTGTCAAGCTGCAGTCAAGGTTCCCAGAGATTTTAAAGTTGAGGTCAAGTATTTAAAAATGTTAAAACACTGTAACAGAGTATCACTCATCACTTTTAATGTTATTTTTTGAAAACTAAATCAATACGGCACTGTTTCGTACTGGCAAACATTTCAATTACTTTTTCATTGAAATTAATGTCATTTTTAATTAAAGTATTCTCTATAGACAACATGGAAAGTGCCGATAACCTGTCCACACACACTGAATTTCTTAAAAAGTTTTTCACTCGTTTCAAAGTTGAGAAGCATCGTTCCGTCTCAGCCGTTGACATTGGGATTGTTATTATTATCTCCAGCAATTTGATGGTCTCTTTAAATGTTTGTTCCAAATTATTTCCTCTAATCATATTTAAAAAAGCTACAGCCCCATTGATTTCACGAAAATCAGGCCTCATATAAATGAGAGTCAACTCAGTTCGCAAACGTTCAACTTCAAATACTGGATATGCTGCAACTGTAGTCTTCAATACATCATCGGGAAATGTTTTGGAGTACTTATCAAAGTGATCGGAAAAGAATAAAGTTGATGCAAGCAAGTGGCCACTGTATTCAAATCTAGTTTTTGCCGTTTGTATCATAACATCACAAACCTCAAGAGCTGATGCGCGTAAACTTTCTTCTGAAACTCGCATTCGTTTCGGAGCAGATTCTGATTCGAATTTAAACAGTTCTTCGCCTCTCTTAATAACAGATTTAATATCTTTTCGAACATTATTAATACAGTTTTCAAAAGTATCGATCGCACTTTTAATCACTACGGGATCAGTTATTCTCGTTTGTAGCTGGTTATACAAAATATCAACATGTGGCATAATGTTATGAAAAATATTTAGCCAAAATAGAAACACTTTATCATGAAGTAATCGTTCTATAGCACTCGCTTGATTGATAGCCTTTGCACTGGAAAATTGTTCCTGAATTTGTTGCATACATTCTATTAAAGAAGTTCTATATTCATAAATTATATTTACAGCGCTACTTTTAAAGTTCCAGGGAGTTTGAACGGCACGCGGTATTCTTTTCCCCACCACTTCAGTTAATATATCCAATCTTTGAGGAGAATTTGAAAAGAAATTAACGATGTCATCCATGATTGAAAAAAAAATACGCACTTGCGTGTTTTGTGAAACTGCTTGCGACATTATCAAATTTAGCTGGTGAGCGTAGCAATGCACAAAATAGGCCAGGGGATATTTTTCTCTTATTCTTGTATAAACACTGGCATGCCTACCGCTCATAACAGCCGCGCCGTCGTAAGCTTGAGCAATCAACTTATTACAATTTTCTTCCAATAATGGATCAAGTACGGAACGAATAGAATGTGTTAAAGACTCAGCATCGTGCTTTTCCGGATTGATGAATGCCAAAAATCTTTCCACAGGACTGCCTTCGTGTACGTAGCGCAAGACAACGACCATTTGAAATTTTGAAGAAACATCTGTAATTTCATCTGCCATAACAGCAACATAATTTGACTGATTAATTTCAGTCACTATTTTGTTTCTGCACACTTCAAGCATACACTGCAGAAGATCATTCTGTATATCTTTCGAAGTCCCTTTAAAAATAGTAGTTTTTCCTAGATGTTCTTTTAATATGTCGTCAAGATCTGCACTAAAATTTATGAGTGCACGAAACACACCAGGGTTGTCCGAATTGTCCGTCTCGTCATGTCTGCAAAGCGCTAATTCGAAAGCTCCGCAAAATTTTATGCTATCTATAATTCTAGATAATACATAACGATTTTTCGTTACCTGTTCATTGTGTTGCCGTATATTATCCCAATATGCAGAATCTAACTGACTTCTTATGTTTATTTTATCTAATAGGGCCAAGTTAATCTCATTCGACAAATGTTTTTTTGTTATTTCATGTCTCTTGATGCTCTGATTTAAATGACTTAAATCCTTCACACCGTATATTGTCCATGGTTTATCCCCACCGAAAATTAAGCACGGAAAACAAAACAGTGCATTTTTTATATCACACCCGCACATCCACTCTGTTTTTGTGTATACGTTATTATTAAATTGTCTTTTATAACTTTTACTTCGGCTTGTTCCACTAACTTCAATATTTAATTGTGGTGTTGGCCTACCTAATTCTTTTATTTTTAGTTTATCCTCATAAGACAGAGAATCAAAAAAATTTTTTTGTAAAAACCAAACGCTATTCATTTTAATAACTATATTATCCGTAGACGCCTAAACGAAAATATTTACCCGTGCCGCTCGCAGAAATAAACCATCACATACCGCGTCCTATCGTGTGTTAGGAAATCTTTCATATTTTCATCAATTATCGATTTGTCGGTTCCTTTATTTTTCAAATTCTGCCTACAGTAAATCTTTGCTTTACCTTTCAATTCAAGCAAAATTTCTTCCTTCAAGATACAAAATGTGAAATTACATTCATTTCATTTTCATTTTCATTTTCATTTCTCAATGAAAATCTATCTTCAATTGCTTCATCATAAAAAAATACTTGAGAGCCTTCTAAAAGTGTTTAAAAGAAAGACAATCAACAAACTGACTTGGAATTGTACCCCTTTACTTCCAGCATTACCGCCTTTCCCGTACTTTCGACTTTCCATTCTTGCGAGGATAAAACTGAAAGAAATATGAATTTTCAGTATACAGGGTGTCCGGTAAGTACCTCCTAATCTCTCGGGAGTGTATAGGGGAGGTCAAAATAAAACTAGACCTTCCTATAATTTTTTTTCCTTAATGTGCCCCCTAACGGAGTTATGGGGGGTCAAAGGGGTACCTAGAAATTAACGTTTAGGGTTATAACTTTGAAACCACCCTGTATATTTTAATAAAATTTTCGTACGTTGTATTACACATGGAGCTCTACGATTTGATGCTAAAATCAACTTTTTGCTATTATCAGGTGTCCAGAAACGGACTGGCCCTATCACAATTTTTCTCAAAATTTTGACAGAAGTAATTTTATCAAACTGAAAATATTATTATTAGATACTCTGAAGGTTTTTCTTTAAAAATGGTACTCTTTATTTATTTCGAAAAAATGAACGGTTTGCGAGATAAATCGGTTTTGAAAAAAATTGGTAACAAATACAACAACAATTAAAATTTATTTTTTTACAATAAAATCATTCCCGCTAGTGCCAGCCTACAGATTCACCATAAACATTTACTGGTGGTGAATTAAGGGAATGAATAATGCCGTTTCTTGTAAAATCAACATCTATGACCAAAATACATCTACAAATTATTATTGCTCTTGTCTCCATGGAGTTCTTTTCTATTGTTTTCGTTGTTAGACCCTGTTGATTTTAAAGTACTTGTCAAAGGCGCGTGACAGAATAAAAATTCAATTTTATTGTGGTATTCGTTTTAAGCCGTTAGAAATAACATTTAAAAATGGAAGAATATTCCTGTGCAGAATATGCTGATATGCACCTAATTTATGGGGAAGCATTATGCAACTCCGTGGAGGCAAGAAGACTTTATGAGGAAAGGTTTCCGGGTCGACATTTGCCGAGTCCAAAAACTTTTGAAAGAGTTGATCGTAGTTTAAGAGAAACAGGTAAAAAAAAATAGTGAAAAACGTTAGTGAAACTAATTTCTTCCGAATCCTTTATTTAGGAAGCTTTTTGCCACGCCGTGGTGGAGCAGGAGCCCCGAGGAGAGTACGAGACCCTCATGTAGAGGAACAAATATTGGAAGACGTTGCTAATAATCCTTCAAATAGCATAAGGAAGCTTGCGGCGCAAAACAATGTTACAAAATGGGCTGTACATGAAACTCTGAAAGAACAATTGCTTTACCCGTACCACATCCAAAAAGTACATGCTATGTCTCCAGATGATTATCCAAAAAGACTTCAATACGCCAATTGGTTTTTACAGCATCATATTCGGAATCATAATTTTGGTACATCTATTTTGTTCACCGATGAAGCAGGTTTTACAAGAGACGGCATAATTAATTCGCATAATCTACATGTCTGGGATGAAGAAAACCCTCACGCTTTAGTTCAAACTCGCTACCAACAAAGGTTTATGGTGAATGTGTGGGCTGGCATTATCGGGAATCATTTGATTGGTCCATTTATTCTGGAGCAAAGACTTAATGGTGCTCTTTATTTGCAATTTTTAGAGGAAAATCTAAATATTTTGTTAGAAGAAGTGCCCCTTCAAATAAGAACTGAAATGTGGTACATGCATGACGGTGCACCACCCCACTTTGATCGTTTAGTACGTCAACATCTGACGAATGTTTTTGGTGATCGATGGATAGGTCGAGGCGGACCTGTATTATGGCCACCTAGGTCGCCCGACCTAAACCCATTAGACTTTTTTCTGTGGGGTCATTTAAAAAATAACGTTTATTCAACACCCGTAAATAGTAGAGAGGAACTTCTGCTGAGGCTAACACAGAACTGTGACCATCTCCGCAATAATCACGGAATATTATTTCAAGTGCACCGGGAAAACATTCGTAGGATTAGAAAGTGCATTGAAGTACGGGGTGCTCATTTTGAACATCTACCGAAGTAACATTTAGGTACCTTTGTTCATTGTTGAATGTTCTTTGTTGCATGTCTTGTAAGTAAGTTATTTTTCAAATGTTATTTTTAATTGGTCACTACTTGCTCATAAAGTATAGCCAACCCGTTCAAAGATTTCTGGACTTGATAAAGTTAAAGAAATTAAATGCATGAAATAATATGTAAAAAAAATAAATTTTAATTGTTGTTGTATTTGTTACCAATTTTTTTCAAAACCGATTTATCTCGCAAACCGTTCATTTTTTCGAAATAAATAAAGAGTACCATTTTTAAAGAAAAACCTTCAGAGTATCTAATAATAATATTTTCAGTTTGATAAAATTACTTCTGTCAAAATTTTGAGAAAAATTGTGATAGGGCCAGTCCGTTTCTGGACACCTGATAATAGCAAAAAGTTGATTTTAGCATCAAATCGTAGAGCTCCATGTGTAATACAACGTACGAAAATTTTATTAAAATATACAGGGTGGTTTCAAAGTTATAACCCTAAACGTTAATTTCTAGGTACCCCTTTGACCCCCCATAACTCCGTTAGGGGGCACATTAGGAAAAAAAATTATAGGAAGGACTAGTTTTATTTTGACCTCCCCTATACACTCCCGAGAGATTAGGAGGTACTTACCGGACACCCTGTATATGCCTCTCTCTGTTGAATTAAAATTACTATAACGTAAAGTTAGAAAGCCGCATTTAACAGACTTCAAAAGAAGTACAAACGGCAACAAAAAGTAACAAAATCTTTAATACTATTTCTGCAGTCTGCTAAAAGTGGCCTGGTATCTTTTTATTTGTTACAATATATTTCGTGTATTTTTACAAACATTGTAGTGATAGATACACAAGGTTCCAAAGTAAACAGGACTTTTTAAAAATAAGAACAAGTTTTTTTGACAAAACCAATTTATTTTATTCAAAATAGTCCCCTTCCGACTCAATACAGTGGTCTGAACGCATGTCGAATGAGTGTTTTAGATCATCCTCCGGGATGAACTTCAGGATGTCGGTACAAACCTTTTGGATGACTCCTACATCCCTAAAACGCTTTCCTTTCACCGACAATGCATTTTTCCGAAAAGGTATGGTGGCAAATCAGGCAAATACGGGGTGTGGTAGGCAGTTAAAATGCGATTTTTAGTTAAAAAAGTCATTCACGAGTCGATCGATGAGATGGCACATTACCATGCAACAAACGCGAACTTCCTTCTGCGCAATATTCTGGTTAAATACGATGCATGAAAGGCTTTAAAATGCCAAGATAGAATTGTGCATTAAGGTGACCATATCCCTGGCAGAGAAATAGTTAAATTTCTGGCGTTTTTAGGTACTGAAATCTCGAAAAGTAAAACGTGTAGAACAAAAGTAAGCAGAAAAATAAAATCCTTGATGTTTTGTTTATTCATTGTTACTATTTAAAACTCAAATAAAATAATAACTTAAAAAAGCGTTTGTAAAACAAGCGTTTGCTGTTATCTTAATCCCACATTTTAAGAATTATTTTCACGTACTTATAAATAAAAGTAAACAATTTTATATGTAGGAATAAGCAAGTAAATGTTATAAGAATATTTACATGTAGAGTTATATACAAAAAAGTTAGTATTTTCGTAGATTTCACTACCTAAAATCCTGATGGTTTGATCGTTTTTTGTACCTATTTATTCGGTTTACTGTGGCTTCTGAAAATACTCAAATGGCATGGCATAACATTCCTATTATTTCATACGCTTTAGATTATTCAGTTATTACATGTTTGAAATTATTTGTTTTTGTGAAAAACACTATTTAAAGATTACGGCAAACAAAACTTAATATTAGTTCTTCGTTCGATGCTCATTCTTGTACTGTTGACACAAACATACAGTCATTTTAGACGCAATAACTCTGTTCACATCTCATCTCATGAAATTTTTACTTATTTATTTATTTATTGATAAAAGGGACAAGTCCTTTTAAAGCAAAAACACAAAAACATACAAAGTAAAATGTGAATGCTAAAACTAGTTAGTAATATGATCATAATAAATATAACACGGCTTACAAAAACAAACACAAAACAGATGACAATGATATTTAAGAACCAAGCATTTTTACTTATAAATTTTTTACAGATCTCTTGAATGATGAGCAGGAGCAATTAAATAGATCTAATTTACTGTTCGTTAAATTAGCATTACGCAGGATTCTAGTAATTGAATCATTCTGTCCATAACTAATATGGGAGAATGGAATATGAAAAATTTCTGAGTTTCTATTTATTCTTTCAGTAACCTTAAAATTCACTAAACTTAAAAACTACGACGATTGAATGTGTCTCGTGAGTATTTTATTTAGAAAAAGCAAATCAATATATAAACGCCTATGTTCCAATGAAATTAAATTGAGATCGCTAAGAATTTGGTCATAAGTGTAATACTCTTTGGTAACCTAGCTTAAATGCACAATGTCTTAAAAATCTCTTTTGTACATTTTCAATAAAATTAATATGAGTATTATACTTCAACACGAGATAATACAACAATATTCTAAAATGGACCTGACTAAAGAACAGTACAATATTTTGAGACTATGAACTGAAAAGTCAATCCCAGTACGATGAACAAATCCCAGCATCTTTAAATATTTTGAAACAGTATTCTCAATGTGAGTACAATAGGACACTTTACGATCAAAAATGACACCACATCTAATACCGTGTTATTCGATTTATAATGAAAACTCAAATGAGAGGGAGATCTAGTGAATGTTATTATTTTGACAGCACATCAGTGAAGGTTCTACCTTTTTGACACATGTAATTGCCAATAGATGGCCCCATAAGAAATACCTATTTTTGAAAAGTCCTGTTTACTTTAGAACACACCTACTATTAGTTTTAAACAAGAACAGACTATGCTTACCTGTAGTTTGTCCATCAAATAATTCAAGTGGTACTTGTAAGATACAAATTCTATTATTAGCACAAGTATTATATGCTAATGTTATTTACACCAATGAATTTAATTTGCTTCCGGTCTGACTCATAATTTGTCTATGACGCACATATTAGTTTATAAGGTCTATGATGCCACAAAGATACACAAGATCTATGCTGACTCGTACTGCCACTACATGCAACACCTCACACTACCGGTGTTTAAAGCTTGTTTGCTTGAAGGGATTCCTGTTTAAAGAGAGTGCCAGTCGTCAACTGATCCTTTGAAGGCACCCTATTCGATTTCATTAAAGGAAAAATGAAATTTCAAAGCAAAAATCTGCACAAAATGAAATAGACGAAAAAAAGCAATAAATTAATTTTTAACTGTTAAATGTGGCCAATTTTCTACTCTTGTTACCCGTTTTACTCGAACAGTCGTTGGTTTTAAAACAATAATTTTTGAGCAGGATATTTGAAGCGGAAGCAAGAATAACTTTGGTAAGGGCTGCTGTTGTGTGATTACTACATTCGGGGATATTATATAAATAACCGTTTTCCGTAATGTATTTAAATATAAAGTGAATTAAATCCTGTCGTTTGTCACAAACGCTCGAAAAGTCTTCCTCAAATTCTGAAATTATTTTATTAAATATAATATACGACAGACAAACCACTTGCACCGAAAACTCTTTTGGAAGAAGTAATTTTTTGCGAGATAAAATATGTACAAGATTGTAATTGTCTTCCACGACCATATCGTCTGCGTAGACCAGATTCTGTTGACAAAAGTTACACCGGAGTCTTTTGAGAGCCGTATAACAACAGTACCCGGCTAAGTAAGTTATTACCGGCAATTCATGATTTACTTCTAATTCGTGTTCTTCTATAGCAAAGTAAGAGTTAAATAAACTTACACCTTTTTCTTCGAAGGGTAAATCGACAGACTCGTTCCCAAAGTCATAAAATTTGTTTACCTGTATACTTCCAAAAGTTCGTGAGTTTAAAATTAAATGCGACCGAATTATTAGTCTTTTCTCTGGTTCATACAATTGTCTTACGGACATATGATAACGGCCTGTCTCTAAGTATTTTCTGAATCTATGTTCTACATCCGCAATTTGAAATTTTCCTAATAATATATGATTCATATGAAGTTCATTCAAGCAGTATTTTGTTACCTCCAGTAATCCATAAGTTGTATGAGTTAAAGCGGTACAGGTTTGAGTTAGTTTATTAGAGAAGTTACCTTGTTTCCAGTTATTTAGCCAGTCCAGCATTTTTTCTAAAAAAACTATTTTCTGATCACTGTCTATATTATCGGACGTTATTGGCTCCTGGTATTCGTCCTCTAAAGGTTTTCCTTTCATAGGAGTTTTTACATTTACTATTTTCCACCACGTTAGTATTATATTTATAAATTCAGCAGTCTCCTTCGAGTTATTTACGTTACCGCCAAATTCTATCAAAGCTTGTACAACAGAGGGATTGAAAACTTTTAAGGTTAATGCGATATTTTGACTTTCTAGGTTTGTTGGGAATAAAGCTTTCAAGCTTAAGGAATATTTTAACTTGTCGCGTTCTAATCTGTGAAGTTCCTTTAATGAACGGAAGTCGGCAACTTTTTCAATACCAGTTTCAAAATCGGGATAGCGGAACAATTGGTCAGGTTCAGAGTTTAACCAGTTACATTTTATACATTTTAGCAGATGCACCGAATCAAATAGGTAGAAAAGAGGCCTACTTTTATCGACAGGATGAGGATACACTATGCTAAGCTGATGCGGTGTTGCGAAATGGCTCACAGCTTCACTGTTAACCTCGTTATTATCGGAGATGATGCAAAAAACTTTATACCCTATTTCTTCTAATTTAATTATAACAGTCTTTACTAGCGAGAACACCATTTTATGATCAATTTTTGAAAGCAGACTAATATGTACCAGTGCTTTAAAATCCGATTTAATGCTTGTTAACGTAAATGCAAGAGCTGACTTTGCCAATGAACTATTATCGCACGCGTCTAAATATTGACTAATATGGATTTCGTTAAAAAGCAAAATGACGTCTTTATCTTTGTCCGTCAAGAATTGAAAGATATTTGTTGCATACCGAAGACATATCTGTTTTTCTTCGAACGTTGGGTCAGTTATTAAAGAACTGCTCATTGATGCAATTGTTTTTGGGTGAGGCAATATAAAAATATTAGTCTGTCTTAAAAAATTATAAGCTTGTGAACTAACACCATGAAGTATTGAAGCTACAATCAGGGCATTATCAGAATATCGATAGCCTTCTTTGCAGGACATTAACAGTTTCAGCTGTTCAGAAACAAATGATAAAACATATTTTTCAGAACTTTCATATTCTCTTTTTTCGGATACGAGTGAATCAATTATATTCGAAACGTGACTTAATATACGATGTGAATTATTATTCTCATTTAAATTTGACTTACCCAGCTCGTCACGTTTATCTATTTCCCTTAATAAATCTTCGATTTCAAGAATGCTGTTTGACAAGAACGGGGTTTTAAGTTCTGTTTGAGGGCTTTTTACAACAGCCACAGCAATTTCATGGCCATACAAATATGTTTCCACTTTTAACACGGTATTAATCACAACCGAATATGTAATAAGAGGACCGGGAGATTCTATTAATTTAAAAAGCATTACTTTTTCATTAGAAATAATTTTGTTCCATTGTAGGGGCAGCTGAAAAGAATTAAGAATTGTTAGAAAACTATCGTAATTCTCATAACAAACCGATTTTTTAAACACATCACTGTCCTTTTCGCTATTTATAATTGCTTCCGTTGAATTATCTTGCTCAATTAGTTCTGTTTCATCTCTACTTGGGCTACATTTAACATCTTTGGATAAATATTTTGGACAATTAGGAAATATAGGAACAGCGTCAGGAGCTAATTTTGGAATCTTTAAATTTATGGAAATACTGTAGCCAGTTCTCGAATCATGAGCAGTTGAGGAAAGTATTATTTTTTCTCTAGGGAAATGTAACTCGCAGATTCTACTATGTTTTGTAGGGAGAAAATTCGAGCGAGGGATGGCAGCAACCCATTTCTTACGTAAAGCCGAACTGTTAGGAAATTTAAAGGCATGCACTTTTGGGCCGTCTTTATAATTGCCGCGGCAGCCAGGAACACAACATACATACGGCATTTTTTAGTTATTTTTTAAACACACCAGCACGAAGCACATGTATAAACAATCAAATAATAAGTTATAAATTACTTCAACTAATACACTAATTTTAAATGCACTACACGTTAAATTAACACAAAATCTGTATTTAACAATCTCCTAGTCGTCGAACAGACTATTTCAACATTTCTAAAATAAAAAGTAAAAATATTAAATAGAGCAATACAATAATACAATTTCTTATAAACAGTCGGCAACAACAGTGACAGTTCATCTGAACGCAGCGCCATCTACTTACATGGACACACTGAACTACATAACAACGGAGGGAATTTCGAATGTTTTATTTACTTGTGTTACACATTTAAAATCATTTACAATTTACAAGTAAATTGTATATGATTTTAAATATTGATCAGTGAGGAACAAAAAAGCGTTAAAATTTAAAGAAATTCGCTCAAAAAAAGAAAAAGTGTATATAAGGTCTGTTCCAACAAGAGTCAGGGATTGGTTCCGAACTGTCAGTAATGTGCAACCAACTAATTCTTGCGATATATTCACTGGAGACACATTTAGAACTTAGCTGGCCAAACATTTCAAACGGTTCGGAACCAATCTCTGACTCTTGTTGGAACAGACCTATAATTTTTCTACATTTCATTCTCTTATGCCAAAAATAATTGTGATGTAATACTTTAAGTCACAAGTTTTAAAGTTAGATGAATAAAAAAATGACCATTGTAATATGTTGATATGCTTATTTTTTCATATAGGTCAGGGTGTTATAGACAGCTGGGATTTGATTAATTATTTATATTTTTATGTTCCTCGTGCTTGAGTTTTTTGCTAGGTTACTTAAATATTGTTTGTGTGGCGAATACCCACTCAACAAAAATAATTCGCAGCGAATGGTGAAAAACTGTGTATGCATTTGAAGTTACACTAGCTTGCCCACCGGCAGTTTACGAAAATTACTAAGAGGTTAAAAAATTAAGTGTTTACAACAGAATTTGAAAAAATAAACTGTTCATACGTGTTTCCAATGGTCAAAGGAAACCTCTGTATAAACATGACCCTCGCTCAAATTTACATCCTGCATATTATTGACTAGTAGATATACTAATAGATATGCAGTTTGTAGAAGACAAAATTAAAAACAAAAACATTATTTTTGTAAAAAAATAGTTTTAAACGATCTATTCTAGGCCCCGACCCAAGAAGAAGAAGAATCGATTTTGCTGCCCTAGTTGCAGGCAGATCTTTATTTCTATATTTCTAATTCTAAATAACGTGATAACGTTTTAATTATCATAGAAAAATTATTATTTCTATGGAGGATTTTGGGGAACAGTATTGTGCGCTGTGCGTCAATACCATAAGCGATGGGAATTTTAAAGAAATACAAGTCGTTACCAGGGATATTTTTGAGGTTATTTTGCTGAAAGTGGTGGGTTTATTATCTGTAGTATGTTAAAAATATACACTTTAAAATAGGTATTGCATCATTATTAACTTTAAAATCTGAACCTTAGGCTTATTTTCTTCCTACCGTGACATTTTTTCATATTCTAGGATTTTGACGGCAGAAGTAAACAAGTAATATGTAACATTTGTTCATTAGCCGTCATGGAAGCATTCAAATTCAAATCAATGTGTCTCTATACTGATTACACCATAATTCCTTATGTCGATGACGAAACAGGATGTTCTGTTAGCTTAATGGAGATTTACACAAAGGAAAATGGAATCGAACAATCAATCGAAACAATGAGGGAGCAGAAAGTATGCCGATTATGTTTTCAACTAATAAGGGCCGAATTTATCTCGGTACATGATGTAAATATTGATATGATCGAGTGTTATATTCCAGAAATAGTAAGTGTATAACAAGCCTCGTAATTTGTAGTTAGCTGTTATTTAAAATAGTTTCATTTTAAAATTGGCTATTTAGATTTTAAAAAGTGAACTTTGTAGAATTTCAGTGTCACCGAAGATCCTGTTCTTTGTAGACACTGTTTCGATTCCTTCGACATCCACAGTTCTTTTGTAAAGAGATGTTCGGAGGTAGAGAAAAAAGTTAAAAGTATTCAGCCATCATTAATTTCGAGCATTAAAACGGATATCAAAATAAAATCTGAAGCAAGTGATCAGGAAGAGGAGTTGAGCAAAATTGAGTCTACTATAATGAAAACTGAAAAAAAAGAAATGTCTATTAAAGCCGAGTCTATCGAAATAAAAACGGAAGAAAATAACGAAGAGAGGTATGTAACGTAACTCATAACTATTGAGGCAGTTGCGCTTTGTTGACTAATTAAATAAATGTGGCATTGAACGGTTATGAAGTAAATTTTGTAAGTTCTAGAAACTGTTCCTGGGTAAATTTTTTCTTTTTAATTCAATTAAATCTGCTACTACAAAACTGGTACATTTTTTTTAATTCTATGATAAATAATCTTGCTGTCTACCACATTAAATTTAATTACAAATGATATCCTATTAAAATATTTTCAGACGATGTATTAGCAGTCTAACAAAGATTTCAAATATGCCATGAAAAATAATCAAATTCATAAAACTATAAAACTGTCTAATTTTCAATCACAAATCTTCTACTAAGCAAGACTTGCTGACTTGTGTTAGGTAAAGAAATACATGAGGTATAATAACTAAAATGCTTGACATAAGGTTAATAATTCTGACACGAATTAAGAAAAGAAGCTCCTGTGAAGTCCTAAATGAAGAGTAATAAATTTGCTAGGTGTAGAATGTAATTTTTTGTTATTAAATATCATGTCTATCTTGAAAATAAATATGCAATTATTTATATTGTTACTGTCTATTACTGATCGCACAAAGGGCAAAAGACAATTTTTTATAAAATTAAAACAATTTATTGAAAAATCAAATTCCAAAATATTAAGTACAGGGTATATACAAGCCACAAAAAACAAACAAAAATAATAATTAAGAATTCAACTTTCTGTTGGAGAGGAGTGCAATGCAATTCATGGATTTAAAACAATTATAATTTTCCAGAGTCTATATTATTGTAATAATCAGTTTATTACTTTTCGTAAAATCAAGTGAAAACAAGTTTTATTTTTCAGTGACGCACCTGATTATGAATCAGAACTCGAAGGTGTTTCCGAAGTAGACAAAATCAAATGTAAACCTAAAAGGCATATGTTGAAAAGGAAAAAGGGAGCAGTGAAAAAAATTCATACATGCGAAAAGTGTGACTATAAGACTGTATTTAAGAACCACTTTACAAATCATCAGCTGATACACGAAAATGTTCCTAAAACAAAAAAGGAAGGATGTCCCAGTTATGAAGCGAAGAAGAAGAGCCCTCTTTTAAGCCATCGCTTACATGACAAAAATTCTTCTGAAGTGAACAGATTTAAATGTATTTATTGCGATTATAAAGCAAAACGGAAGGGTGTCCTGCGGGAACATTACATAACCAATCATGAAGAGAATTTGCTGGACCCCAAGGAAAATTCAAAAATAAAACAAATGCTTAATCTCAGATATCCGTTACCTGTGAAAATACATAAATGTGATATATGTCCCTATACAGCTATAAACAAGAAGAAACTTCTAAACCACCGGTGCAAGTTGCCCCTAAAGTGCTACCAATGCAGTTACACGACCCAGTTTAAGTTCCAGTATACAGCCCACCAAATGATGCACGAGAACCCCTCAAATATGGAAATGTACAAGTGTCACAACTGCAATTATGAAACCAAATATAAGAACCGCCTTACAAAGCACCAGTTAAAACACAAAAATCCAGAGCAAGTGCAGATGCACAAATGTATTTACTGTAATTATGAAGCAAAATGTAAGGGAAGTTTGAGGTCGCATCTGTTACTTATTCATGCAGACTTCCTATATGACCCCAAGGAGAATTTGAGGGTTCAGGGTATGCTGAATTTCAGGAAGCCAATTTCACTAAAGATGTACAAGTGTGATAAATGCATCTATGAAACACTAAACAAGACTGCCTTCAACGCACACCAATTGATACACAGGGACCGATCACACGTCCGAATGTACACATGTGAAGTGTGTGATTTTGAAACCAAATATAAGAAAAGTCTTGACGGCCACAAAATGACACATGCCGAGGAGCTAAATTTCAAGTGCCACACCTGCAGATACGCGACCAAGCAAAAAAAACAACTTGCCCGCCACAAGTTAACACACTTAAACATTGCCGAAGTGCGAATGTACAAGTGTCACAACTGCGATTATGAAAGCAAGTATAAGGGCCACCTTGCAAGGCATCAATTAAAACACCAAAATCCAGAGCAAGTACAGATGCACAAATGCATTTACTGCAGTTATGAATCAAAACATAAGGAAAGTTTGAGTTCACACATAGAATTTAATCACAGAGACAAGTTGCTCGACCCCGAAGAGAATTCAAAGGTAACACGTATGCTGAATCGTAAAAAAATATTTTCGTTGGAATCGTACAAATGTGACAAATGCTCCTTTGAAACCCCACACAGAAGCATCCTCAATGGCCATCTCTTGACTCACAAGGATCGATCGCAGGTGCGAATGTACATGTGCAATGAATGCGGTTATGAAAGCAAGCGTAAGTATAGTCTCACTAAACACAAATTGATACACAAAAGTCCAGCCGAGGTGCAATTATACAAATGTGACACTTGCAACTATGCAGCCAAGGGAAAAAGTGCCCTTAAACGGCACCAGTTAACCCACAATAATAACATTGAAGTGCAAATGTACAAATGTCGGACATGTAACTACAAATCCAAATTTAAGAGACGCCTTGAAATTCACCAATTACGGCATAAAAGCCCTTCCAAAGAGAAAATGTACACGTGTGATACGAAAATGGATAACGTTAAACCGCACCAGTTGATGAACAAAAATGCCTCTGAAATTGAAATGTACAAGTGTAACAATTGCGACTATGAGACCAGATATAAGAGCAATCTTATAAGGCACCTATTACAACATAAAAGTCCTTCCAATATACGGATGTACATGTGTGAATCGTGTGATTTCAAATCAGAATCTAAGAAATGTCTTATTAACCACAAACTGATGCACAAAAATCCATCTTAGGTGCAAATGTTCCCGCGTTTATGCTACCAAGTATAAGTATAATCTTGCATTTCACCAGTTGTGGCATGAAAACGCACGGAAACGGTTTCATCACAAGTATGATTAGTGTGATTTTAATACTAAGTATTAGACCTGTTTTTATTACCATAAATTGGCACACAAAATTTCCAAAGTGCGAATGTAAAGTAGTCTATTACGTGTTTTTTTTTTGTTTCTAGTAGAAAAGAAAAAATGGGTGTACCGCATTTATTGCCAGTATAAGGCCTGCGGCAAGGTAACGCAACGTCCGTCGATTCTAAAGTACATTTATTTTGATAGGTCCAGCCCCGCGGCCGCTTGTCCATACTGCGTGCATTTCTCACTGTTGAGCAACAACGGCTGGCAAAGATTGTCTTTTTACATGTTTTTATTTTTTATTTGTATTTATAACATTATATGGTAAGCTACGATGCCATATGTCTATTCTGCATATTTTACTTAAGAGAACGGATGGTTACCGAAAAAGAAACAGAATTAAAAGAGGACATAGTCGCTTACTAGCAATAAAAAGAAATATGTGAATGCTCTTTCACAGGTAAAGTCTGATAAGATAAGCAAAATTTGATGACCTCGCAGAAGTTACGATCTGATTTCAATGGATTTTAAAAAGCTATCATTTATTAATAAGTTCTGGCTTCTTTACAGGGATCATAAGTGTGCTCAGGCCATCAAATTGATTTGAATCTATTTAAAAAAATGAGTACTTTGCTTGTGGTCACTTTGAAAATAAAAAGAAATTTAACCGGTATAGAAAATCAAGAAAGTAGTACCAAAGAGTTAATGAGCTTGAGTACAAAAAAAATTAAATTTGGAATAATACAAGTGAAACAATAATAACTACATATTGTTAAGACGATATAAAATGTCGAAGAAACTGTTGTAAGCTATTTAGTTTGTGAAAAGGAAATTAATTGAAGGAAAACAAATTTTCTACCTGTTTAGCTTATGTTAGATTTTTAGTAATAGTGTTAAAACCATCATTGTACAGGGTGTTTTGCATAAGAACCAATACAGAGCATGTAGGGGAACCCAAAATATGGCGATTTAATGCAACTTACGTTTATACTAAGCTGCACCACTGAGAAGTTATAGGTCTTGAAAGTTGAGTTTCTTTCCAAAAAAAATCAATATCTCAGTTATAGTTGAATTTAGAAAAACCAAATTTGGTACACAGTGTGAGTGCCAATAGCATTAATTGACAGTAGGTAGAGTTCAATTGAAGCATTTTAAAGGGTTGATAAGGGATGATGCACCATTTTTTAATCCGTTAGCGGACTTAAAAAATTATTATTTTAAGGGGAATTTAATTCTAAAACTTTTCTCTCTTACTATTTTTCAAAAAACTTTGTCGTTTTCAACAAAAACACTAATAACCAATAATACGTATTGTCCCTGATATTTAAAATCATCGAAAATTCAAAAGTTGGCTATGAATTTAAACATCAAACTTGAGGATCGGAAAAAAAGTTGGAATAAGAATAATTTAATAGAAAAGCAAACAACTTAAACAACAGAAATAACATACAATTTGCACTAATAAGTTATAAAAATTTGTTCAAAATGATCACCATTGGCAATCAATTACTAAAATTAAATTAATTTAAATTCATAGCCAACTTTTGAATTTTTGATGATTTTAAATAACAGCTACAATATGTATTGTTAGTTATTTGTGTTTTGTTGAAAGGTTTTTTGAAAACTAACGAGAGTAAGAAAAGTTTTAGAATTAAATTCCCCATAAAATAAAATTTTTCTTTGTCCGCCAACGGGTTAAAAAATTCCGTCACATTTTAATGGTGCATCATGCCTTATCAACCCTTTAAAATACTTCAATTGAACTCTACTTACTGTCAATTAATGCTCTTGGCACACTCACAACGTGTACCAAATTTGGTTTTTCCAAGTTCAAGTATAACTGATACTGATTTTTTTCGAAATTTGAAACTCCACTTTCAAGGCTTAAAACTTCTTAGAGGTGCAGCTTAGTATAAAGGTAACTTCCGTTGTATCACCCTACATGTCCCTGCCCTGTGTCGGTTCTTATGCGAAATACCCTTTATATATTGTAGATGTACTAACATTAGTAATGTCTTTATCTATTGGAATAAAATAATAAATTCCTTTATTTATTCTGTTTTATTTATTTCATTTATTTCATATTTAAAAAACATTTTATATACAAATATTGTTTTATAAAGTATAAATTTCAGTAATAGCTATTAGAGATGCAAGGATGATTATGCCCATAGGTGACAGATCACTTCTGAGGTCGTTTAGGCCCGAGGAAAGTACGCCTAAGGGCATAATCGTCCTAGATCTCCGTATATGTTATATTTTTTACTTGGACAAATTATTTTACATTTATTTTAAATTTAATAATTAAAAGTAAATGAGAATGAATACAGTTTTTCAATATATACGATCTATCTAAGATGTGATGACACCCGCAAATTTGTTGATTTTGATAGTTTTTGATGTTTGATTCTGAGGACATTGAAAAGGCAGAATGGATAATATTTCAGCAATATTTGTTGCTAGAGCCAATAAAGCCAATGAAGAATTACTGCCTAGGAAATGTAGATTACTTTATGATAAAGCATATAAACGTTTTGAGACTAGGACAAGCAGAAATTCAGTGACAACTAACTGTTAGTGAAACCATATTAATGGGATATTTCCAAGAACTGGTGTGTATTACCTTTCATCACTTTAAAGAAATATTTATAATTTTTGATAATTTATATTTTTTATATATCTTTTAGTCAGAATCATTCAGCCCTAACAAATTGTGGACAAAGTATTCAATGTTGAAGACCACATTATCAGCGTGCAGAAAAGTATATATAGGAGAATATCGATTAGAGGTTTATTTGAAAGGATATATTCCAAAAAAATCTAAAATATTGTCAAGAGGATATTTTTAAATTTATTAGAGAAGCATCAAGTCGTACATATCTTTAGGAAAAAGTAATATAGAAAATAATTGGCTATATTATTGCATGTGCTTAATAGGTTTTTGTTATTGTAGGTTGTTCAGTCTAGTAATTTTTTTTTTGGAGGATTAAGAAGAGATGAGTTGGTAAAGCTCTCAATAGATGATATAGACGACAAAGAACTCGTAGTAAAAATTAACTATGCAAAACTTGCAGTATCAAAATCTTTTACTATTGTCGAAGAAAATGAAATGCATTCATTCATTACTCCCTTCAAAAGGCAATTGTGTAATTTGGAATCCTTCTACGTCGGTGAGTCTATCGCTACCTAAAACTGCTTTGATAATGTATGAACCTCTAAATTTTGGAATTAATTTTTTACTTGTTCCTACACTTACATCAGTATTTGCAATCGTGACATAATCACCAGCATTGTAAACGTGAACATTTGTGTTTTTTATTATAAACTTCTTTAGCATACATTTGAGATTTTGTGATGTTTTCAGCAGTTTTTTCTATAATTAATTAAGTTTAAATTTGTTTCTTCCTGTGATTCTAAATACAATCTCAAAACATCTTGAACATGCCCCTTTTGATGTACTCCAAACAATAACTTACTAGGAGTTTCTCCCGCTGAACTATTAACTGTATCAATTATAGAAGTCTACTTTTGACAAAACCTCATTCCACTTATCTATTGAATCAGACAATTTTGAACATATTGAACTTAAAGACTTATTTATTATCTCTATTTGACCATTTGCATGGGGTACCTACTCCGGTTGCAATAAGGAATGTTGCATATCATTCTGGGTAATAAATTCTTCAAAATCATCTGATGTAAAACATGATCCTCGAATCTCGATCTGAAATAATTCTGCTATTTAGGCTTGCTATTATTTCGAAAGTATGAAATTAAATGTTTGATTATTTACTTTGTATTAGTTGAACTACATGAATAAATTTTTAAACTTTATAAAAGCATCGATTACATATAAATATATTTATTTTGATACCGAGTTTTCTCTAAAGGACCAAAATGATCGATATGTAAAGATTCAAAAGGTAAATTACCCCTAGGTATGGAATTTAAGTAACCTTCAGCTTTTCCCGTGACAGGAGAGTAACTAATGCATTTTAAACAATTTGATATAATCTTTGATCTTTTACTTTAGATTAAGAAACCAGTAAGTATGACATATTAGTTTAAACATTTTGTTTATATCCTTTCCATACAACTTGAAACATACAATAGAAATTTACTGTTTTGTTCTTTTGTTTTCTATAAATTAGACCATTTCGCAATTCATAAAATTTACTCTAGCCATGTTCTGATGATTCTCTAATTTCACTAATACGTTTGTCCTGATCTTGTTTTAGGGATAAATTTCTTTCAAAAGAATTGTCATCTATGATTAGAATTGCATTTCTACTTAAATAATCAGCATGAGTCATTTGTTTACTCGATCCATGTTCTATAAATAATTTTGTAATTCTAATGACCGCCGCGCCATTATTCTATGGCTAGAAATTGGCCTCAATGATTTGGGATCGAGGGGGATTATCCCTCTTTATCCTGCCTCATCTCGTGTATCTAATGACCAATGCAAAATTCTAAGATTTATATATTTCTTTTGCAAATTTAATACTATTGTAATCTTTAATTATTTTGAATTCAATTCCCTTCAAGTAATCTCTAAAATGATTTAAAGAATGAAATATACTAGTATACACAACATTTCGAGTTCGTAACTATGAAACTTAATTTCATCAGTCGGACAACTATTTTGAAACAATAAAAAACAGTGAAATTTTCCATCACCTGTCTTTGCATAAGGACACTACCGAACCCTAAAGAGGATGCATCACAATGTAATTAAGCCTTTGCTTTTGGATTATATATTTTTAAAACAGGTTCTTTTACACAAATTGTCTATTATGGGTCACAAAAGAAGTATATTTTATAGAATCCGGATGTACATTTACATGAAGAAATGCATCTTTTAAGTCTAATCGGGTAAAAAAATGTTTATTTCTCAAAAGATCAATTTGACCATGAATTATAGAGACGAAGGGAAATTGTTTCGGTCTGAAATTTTATTTAATTCCCACATACAACACATACGAATACCCGAAGGTTACTAAAACAATAGGGGAACTATATACCGATAAACTTTTCCTAATATTGCTTTGCGATAATAAATTTTCAATAATTTTATTTACTTCGCCTTTCTCATAAAATGACAAGTGATGTGGTTTAAAGAAAAAAGGTTTCTGATTTGGCTTTACTCTTATTGATATCTCGCATTCAACCTCTGGTTTTTCAGATCTAATTCTCTGGACATAATTTTGAGTACAATTTTTTATAAATGTAACCCTTAATTTATGATCTAGTTGTGGATTTACATCTACATCTAATTCATTTGATCATTTATCACATTGATTAGAAAAATATCACACTGGAAGCCTCTGTATAAATATGCCTCTCACTCAAAGTTACATTCTGTATTATTTACTATTAGGTTTACCAATAGATTTGAAGTTTTTAGAAGACAAAAGTAAAAACAGTAACATATAATTTTTGTAAAAAGTGGTTTTAAGCAATTTAAATTACCGTCATATTTAATTTTTTATGTCAATAAGAGATGGCGCAATATGATCCGTCGGTAAAACAAGGCACTGTTCTATATTATTGGTTATTCTAGGGCCACAACACAATAAAAAGAAGAAGTGCCGCTTTCGGTTCCCAGTTGTAGGTGCAGGTACAGGCACGGTCTGGGTCCGTCTTTTCTTTTTTACGGACCGTGCCTAGATAAATGATGGACCGTGGGTTATAGAGATGAGCTTACCGGTGATTTTGCGATCACCGATAATAATATATCAGCGACTCACAAATAACAGTGATTTTTACCGGCGAAAATCACTGGTTTTGTTCGAGCTGGATCATCTCCGTGGTATTGGTCGGGTGTCGGGTCGCTGTTTCACTGATTCGCCGGTGGGAGAAAATATTAATTGTTCTAACTTGCAATGTTTATTGAGTAATATGTAATAATAACATTAAAATATCAGATTCTATTGGTTGATAGTTTATATTTTGTCGCATATTTTTAAATTGGAGACCGGTATTTAAATAATTTAAAACAATTTATTTTACTATATCAT